CCATTTAGAATGGATTTAAGAATAACTAAGATGAATTTAAAAAATAAATAAATAAAAAAGTCCAGGGAGGTTTTGGAAATGCCCTCCTAGCACTGCCTACCTTTTGTCCTCTCTTGCTTTGCACCCCTTCCTGCTAGCAGAGCCTGCGGGCAGCAAAGCACAAGGGATAGGTGCTGGGTGACCCTGGATGCCTGGCTGCTGAGCCCCCAGCCAGCCCTAAAGCCCAACTTTAGGCTCTCGTGGGACATTTAGGAGCCTACTTGGTTTTCAGCTGTGCTACACAGCAAAGCCTTCAGCGCCGAACTCAGCATCCTTAACTTTGGGAAGAGAGGTGCTTCACTCCCCCGTAGCAAGGCCATGGAATAAGGACCACCACAGAGGTTCCCGTGCTGCACAAGTCCCTGTGCAGCAGCTGAGCAGTGGCTTTAGCTCATTAAGCTCATCAGCTCTCAGATCTCCTTTCCCAGACTAACAGCCAGCAGGAATCTCCTTGAAGTCAATGAGATGTGGGCAACACCAACAGGCTGAGAGCCTCAAAGGCCGCTAAGATCTCACCAAAATCATTTAAGTCCTGCAGAACTTGTTTCGTGCACCCAAAATGGATCATTTTCACAGACACAAAGAGCTACTCTGATTGCCTCTGTGCTGGGTTAGAGAGGAGATGAGGAAAGAGCAGTAGGTTTTTTATGTATTCAGCCCTTGAAGTGCTGGAAAGGACTACTGAACATGCTTCAGAAATTGGGGAAAGGTTTCTACTATCCATTTTTAAAAGCATGAATCTGGCTGCAAAACACCAACAGCTCAAAATGGCCAGGTAAGCCAACCCAGGACCTTCTCACTTCCCTTTAGTTGTGAAGGTTTGGGGACAGGGAGATCCTGAAATGGACTTTCTTCCTTGAAAATTAAAGAACACGTTCCTACCTAATTGTGTGATTCCAGGAACTGACTCCAAGAAAAGCACGCAACCAATGCAAGACTCATGATACAATCATGGCAACCCCGTCACCCGGCCCTGGCATTTCAGAGGCCGTTCAGAGAAGTTCGCATCCAACTCCCCTGTGAGTGCCTCGAAAATACCAGTTGCAGAGAAGGCTCCATAGTTTTCCCGTCTCTCACCAGCCTTCACGAGATGGACTGATGAACTCAGTGAAGCCCTCCTTGATCTGGAGCACAGCACCGCTTAAAGTGTGGTCCTTCTCTAAATAAAAGCAAAGCCCCATTTCCCCAATTAGCATCTCCAAACAGCCTCAGAGAGCGAGTGAGAATTGTGCCACCCATCACCTCCCAGCCAGCTGAAGTCAGCTGGGACACTCCAATCCAGGTGGCACTTTTCCACTGGTGGCACCAGTCACACCTCTGCTGGTGTGTCTCAGACACACTCACTGACCACCTGGTCAGTCTCAGACAAGACCTTTGGCAGCGCCTGTGCGATAAACCTGCCAGCTTCTGTGGCTTTGCCGAGACAGGGAATAACGCACGGAGTGGATGTGAACCCCGACTGCTTCCCACACCCTGCATCGGCTCTGCCGGGCTCACACCTATGAAGGCCAGGAAAGCCCCTTGTAGCCCACACTGATAGATGGGAATTGCCAACTACGCGAGACAGGCTTGGTCGGATACAGTTGATTTCTACCTTTCAAGACCAACCAGCCCGTAATAACAATAGACGTAAAAGAAAATCCGGGGTGCATTCTCAGGATGTGATGAATGTGTTCACGTAGTTTGTGTCTGCAGAGAGACTACAGCAGTACCAGCCCCTTTCTGCTATTCACCCTCTGCTGATTCATCCCTCCTCAAAAGGACGGCAGCAACGCTGCCCTTGCTCTTTTCGGAGGGACCTGGGGGGACCAGGAGGAACTGGTGCTGTCTTTGGTATGTCTGGGTAGGAAACATTTTACCTGCGAATTTAAGATCTACTTGAAGTCATAAATCATCACCATGACCCAGGATGCACAGAGCAGACGTTTTCCACTCCGGCTCATCTGCCCAGCTTCCAAGAGCAGATCGGAGGAGGCCACACCACCCAGATTTGCCACATCATTATTTGGCAGCTGGTTTAATTGCAGCACATGAAACTGAGAATACCACACGGATGACAACGGTGCACTCCTCTCGTGCTGTGGCAGTAGTCCTGCAACATAAGCAAGGTCTCACCTACCAAGGACTGGTGTGCCCAATCTCAGGTTCACTGAGCAGCACTGGCTCCATCACCTCTGCAGAGCAATGGAGCGGGACACGGACACTGGACCAGGCTCCTTGACGAGTTCCTCAAGCCAAGCAACACAAAGGGTAGCATCCCCCGCAGCCTCCTTTATTTTGCTGGAATAAAAGGAAGTAACATCTCTGGGACACCCCCCAGAACCGGCATTAATTCCACCTCCAGCAAATGCACAGACAAAACCCCAGTTCAAGTCAGCCTAGATTTCACCAGGTGGTTACAGACAAGTCAGCCTGCAAAAGGAAGCCACCTGAAACCAACACCAGGGAGGGAACACAGCCCAAGGGACACGGCAGGTCTTGCACAGCTGGAGCAAAGGGCTGGAAAACTAGAGCCAAGAGAAACATTCAGAGCAGGAACCAACCAGACCTGCTCCAGGCCATCCTCACACAGCACACTTGGCAGGCAAAAGAAGGCATCTTCCCCAAAACATCTCCCCCCTATGCCCCCCTCCTGCCCAACCCTCACCCTCCTGAATGGAGCTGCTGCCCCACGATAGCTCTATTCTCCTCCTTTTCCCCAAATTTCTGCTGGATCTTACTGGGGAAGAGACAGGAAGGCGCAGGGCTGGGACTACGGGTTTTGTTTGCTCCAGCTTCCAGACCTCGCAGGGTGCCTTCCCCTCCCCCACAGGACCTGCATCCCAGAGAGCGCCCTGTGCTTTCAAACTCCATTACATCTCATCTGCATTCCTGCCCACCAACGGCCCGTGCTCTGGGCTGGGTGCCAGCGGCCTGGCAGCCCCCCCTCCCCTTCCTGTGCACTGAAGAGAGCTGCCGGCATTCAGGAGCTCCCTACCAGCTCCCTTTTCTTCTCAGGGCTGTGTTAAAGAGAGCTTGGACACTGCAGAAGCCCTTGTGCTAGGCAGGGCGCAGCAATGTCTGGAGCAGAGTCAACACTTCAAGTGCTCCAGTGCTCTGCCAGGCATTTTAGGACATGGGATGGCTGCAGCTGGCACCACCTCCCTAGGGAGGCACCTGGGAGCGGGTGGCACCCGGGAAGGAAGGCACCAAAACAGTCCCACTCAATCCAGCGTGCCATCGGCTGCCTGCCATTGCCCAACCCGGGAGTTTCACCAGGTCCATGGGTGAAATGGCTGTCAAAGGCAACTGCACTCAGAGGGTTCTGGGAGGAGTTGCACAAACACCACCGTAGAAAGTCAGTGCCAAAGTGAAGCAACGCAGACTTGCAAATGAGGAAATTAGAGCTTTCATCAAGCTGATTACTGGGCATCCTGGGCAAGGACAGCAGTAGCAATGCAGCAGTTTGCTGTGTCACTTGCCAGAGTGCCGTGGCAGGGTTCCCCCTGCCCCAGCCGTTTTAAAGGGAAGCCAGTTCTTTAGCCCGAGAAGCACAGATCAATTTTTTTCCAGCGTGAAATGCACTCTAAGTCACTTCCAGGGATGGATGCTGACAGGTGCAAGTAGATCACTGTCCAAAAATACAGGACTCGCGGAGCAAAATCGCTGCAGGGCGAGGAAAAGCAGCAACACAGACGCTCTCCTGCTGCTCAGTAATGAGAACACAGAGGCTGCAGCACCACTTTGTCTCAGCCCTTTGGACATCAAACAACCCGCTGTCATGCTTTGGCCAGTTCAACCCCCTGAGCTCAGAGGGCTGCGACATGCTTCTCTGTCTGTATGAGGGCTGCAGACGGTGTTCCCGGCATGCTCCGCTGACTGCTGCTACCGCACGCTGGCACCACAGGACTGCAGCAAAGCAGCTTCCATAATGAAAGTCCAAGTGCAGCAAGTCTTCCTCCAGGATGAGATACCTCTGCTAAGGAAAAACAAAGAGCAAACAAGTGCTGAGCACAGTGAAAAGCCCTTGCAACGGATTTGTTCATACAGGTCTCCCCCGTTTGATGCATAGGCCTCTCCTAGGCAGAGGAGAGGTGAGGAGTAGGCTGCCACATAGCATCCTCCAAGCTGGAAAGACCAACGCTGGGTTTTGTAGACATCTGTAGTAAATGGAAAGCAAAGCCTTTTCTGCTGGGCTGTATGGTAATAAATGGCACCATAACACAGCAGAGGTACAGGAGCAGCAGTGGCTGTAGGCACTGAGGAGGCTCGGTAAACACGCTTGGTCTTACACATTTCATGCTGCTTCTTGCTTGCCACGTGCCCGCACGCCTGTGGTTTGGCACCGTGACTGTTCAGCCATCCTCCTACAGAGCTCTGGGACCTTTCACATGTGAAAGAGGGGTTGGGTTTTTTTTGCTGGAAAGCAAACAGCAGAGATTTAGGAAAGTTCCACCAATACATAAAGTTTCCAGGGAACGTTTGCCCCCTCAGTGAAGAAGTGATCAGTGCTGGTAACAGCAGCTGTAACAATTTAGGAGTGTAATTGAGGGATCTGAAACAAGGCTGAGGCTCTGAAGAATTTAATTCCAAGACTACTGTTTAGCATAAAAATAGCTTGCCTCCCCTCCAAATGTTTTAAACCATGAGTTTTTAAAACCTATTTTAAATAAATATGTGCAAGGAGTAATTTTTCTCCCGCAGATCATGCCGTGCATTCCTGCAATGATTACGCAATGCTATTTTCTGTTTTAGCTTTTATCAACACTCAACTTTAACAATAAGGAAATTCTAATAATGTTATGATTATAATTAAGGCAACTCTAATGGGATTTTGTGGACTGTGATTGGCATCCCAAGTACAGCATCAGACAGAAAGGGGAACGTACAAAGGACGAATCTCCAGGACACCTTCAGAATTAGCAACCATTTGGGTAATTATAAAACTCCATTTTATAAAGAACCAGGAAACAAGATTAATTTATAAATCAGTTTATTTACAGATTTTGTTCTCTTAAAGTACATTTCCGTTACCAAAGATATTTACACTGGTGTACACAGGGACCACCCTGGTTATTTTACAGTTCTTAATTACAAAAAAAACCAAACCCCAAAACCTCCACATCCTTGGGTCTGTCTACTGTGCAAAGCTGCTCTGGATGTGAACATTAGCTGAAACTGGCCCAAAAACCAGGTTACCCAGTTATTTACACATACACAGTAAACGGGTTTCTTTTCAGCATCTCCACAACACAGTACACGGGGAGACGGAGCCTCCCAAAAGGCGGCTTTGCAAATGTATATCAAAAGGCTCTGCAAAGTCAAGGAAAAAACTAGTAAATGCAAGTTAATTACAGTATTCCTCTTTCATCTGTATATATTTTTGCATTTAATGTTTAAATTACAAATAAGTTCAATAGTTTGCTTTTCTCCATTTTAGTTGATTTGTAAACACTTCAGATGCACTAAATACCTTATAAGATTCAACTGTTTCTCTGCTGTAAAGTACTTTATTTTCCTAATATTCTTAAGGTAGCAAAGGGATATGAAAGTCAGAACTGCATGCAGTTCCTCGCAGAATAGTCACTTAAAAGGTCTCTATCACTGTGCTACTGAAGATCTTCTGCAGGTACACACTTATTCAAGTATTGCAAAAAGCTAAGGCCACTTTTTCAAGAAAGGAAAGTGAACAAGATGGGATTTTTCAATCCCTTGTTCCACCTTGTGAGCAACAAGCCTTTTCTGAAAGGCAGAAGTACTGATATTCCACAGTTCGGCTCAGGGAGCGTCCTGCTGCGAGAGAGGTACTCGCGCTCCTTGTCCTCACAAGCCTGGGCTTTCCCACCTGGCACCGAGATCCTCCCGAAGAGAGAACTGCATCTCCCCAGGGATGACAGTCACTGCCCCAAAACAGCTTACAGGTCTCAGAAAAATGTCTCAGCCTTCAATCTTCTAACGTGGTTGCACCAAGATAACCAGGACCCAGAAATATCATCTTGTTCTTATAATGGGAAGGTTGGAGAGAGGAGAGAAATAGAGAATTCAGCCTCTGTTTGTGAGACTCCAGGCTTCCCCATTCCTCCTCGTTACCAGCCACGACCCAGACAGACCATTGCTTCATCGCGGTAATCATCAGTCCACAAGTACTCAACACACTCGAGGTTTTGAGTATACACTCAACTCAAAGTAACTCAACACACTTGAGGTATTGAGAAGATAATTAACATACTTTCAAGTCTTTTTAGAGTTGCTCCTAACAAGGATTGCTACCAAAACTAAAACGGTGATGTTTGCAAAGGAATAAAGCCATTACTTAGACACAGCTTCCTTCTGCCCAAACAGCTGTAGAAATAGTTACTACTTCTATCGAGGGTACTAAACTAGTGCTATCCAAGCCAGCAAGACAACAGGCATACGATCTCCAATGGTCCCCAGTACCTTGGCAGGCCAACTGTACAACCTTCTCCCTGCTGGTGGACAGACCAGAAAAGCCATGCCAGCCCTTTTCAGAACAGCTGAAAAGCCTCGGGGATGCAGGGCAACCTTCTCAACACTGGCCATGGTATCTACAGAGCAGAAACTAACTTCTTTTCTCCGATACTCCAGCCACAAACCTACGCTGCAGGTTTCTGCCTTCTTTCCGTAATTGCTACCTATAAAAATAGCAATCCTCACTACTGAAGAAGATACACCCAGGAAAGGAAATCTGAGGCGGTGACCCAATTAGTGACACCACGCTGGTTAAACGCAGCAGCTTTAGTTTGCTTCTGTCTTAAGCATTTGAGAGTTTCCTGGTTCAGCATCAGGACCTTTTAGGTAGACAAGTGAATCACTGAGGAAAAAAAGCTGAACGATGCTCCACCAAGACCATCCGACTTCCAGCCAGCCAGAAGGGCCACTACTGCAGGACAGACATGCATATGCCTGTTGGAGGTCTTCCTATACACCATGACCTCCTCCTTGTTCTTCCACTTGTTAAGCTCCCATGAATATGGCTCACCATTAACTCACAAGTGAAGTGCTGGCAATACTACATCTGAGAATTTGCATGGACCTCTGGACAAATCCAACATTTCCCAGTGCTGTCCCTGAAGAATCACCAGCTGTGTGTCATTGTGCAAAATGCAAATAAGGTCTTCCTATACACCATGACCTCCTCCTTGTTCTTCCACTTGTTAAGCTCCCATGAATATGGCTCACCATTAACTCACAAGTGAAGTGCTGGCAATACTACATCTGAGAATTTGCATGGACCTCTGGACAAATCCAACATTTCCCAGTGCTGTCCCTGAAGAATCACCAGCTGTGTGTCATTGTGCAAAATGCAAATATTCCAATGATAGCTTTCCAAAAAAAAAAAAGGTGGAAAAGAGAAAACAAAATGGAGCAGTCAGAGGTATGTCCCTGAAGAATCACCAGCTGTGTGTCATTGTGCAAAATGCAAATATTCCAATGATAGCTTTCCAAAAAAAAAAAAGGTGGAAAAGAGAAAACAAAATGGAGCAGTAGCAGAGGTATGCATAGCAGGAAGCCCAAGAACCAAGCAAATGAACAAAATGATAGAGATCTCCCCGCCACACCTATTGTGGGCTGCAGCATCTTGGGGGCACCTCTGAGGGCTTCAAAGTGTCTTTCTGCACTCCAGTGTGTCTGGAGAATGTGACTCTCCTCTGGGTCTTGTCCCAGGTTAGCAAACAGGGACATCCACTATTAAGGCATCAACATTCGACCCCAGATTGTCTGTGTTCCTCCAAGAGAAACACAAGAACGGGAGGGACAGGTTAGAAATGAGCACTCAGCAGAAGGACACTGCAGTTGAACCCAGCACTGAATCAACCACTAACAGCTGCCAATGGCCTAGAAGTTCTGGGAAAGGAAGGAAACAGATGGAGCAGGGAAGTTTCACATCGTTTTTCAGCTCAGTCCCCTCAACTCTCCATTGTTTCTGAACCAGGTGTGGTGAAGGCACGTTCCTAGTCCTGCCTTTGCTTCCCACCCCGGTCACTGAGGTTTGGTGGTTCTTCCCCCCCCGTATATGTCTCAAGAAGCTGGAGGTTTTGTGCGAATATGGGGCTCTGGAAGTTTCTAGAACAGATGCTTTCTCAAGTTCGGCTGTCTCAAAACATAAGACAGTGCAGCCAACTGCACAGGACACTCTCCTGTAACCCACTTAATAAATTACCTGAAAATAAATAAAAAACCCACAAGCACAAAACATGCAGACAGTCAAGCACTGGACACCGCTTTCTTTGGTGAATACACTCTGTTCTCTAAATTGTTCAAGTAACGGCTTCTCCGATTAACTAGGTGACAGTAAGGGAGGAAGCTGAGGAATTGAAGGCCAAATTTTTGTGAGGAAACATTTTCCACTCCTGCATGTCTCGTGCCTGAGAAAATCCTGAGTATCCATTATCTGGGAGCAGCTGGTGCTCCAGGAAGAGAAGAAGTGCTACACGGTAGGAGGAAAGTTGTCCACGGGCTCATCTTTCGCACTTGACATTAGGCGGCCTTTATCTTGCTCCACCTCGGGACTGAAGCAAGTTACATAGGAAAAGCAGCAAGAATTCTTTACTTGAATGCAGAAAGCAACATCATCTAATTTCCCTGGACTGGCTGGCACCATCCTTGGTACCACATCACAGAAGAAAGATGAAAACCAACTTCACAGAGAAGGGAATTAAATGGGCTCTGGAGCAGAAGAAACTGATGCACATTGTTAGGGCTGCAGGAGAAGAGGTGTTAAGATTATAACACTGTTCAGTACAGTAAGTCTCCATTTATGACTAAAACCTGACCAAACCGTTTCTTCTCCAAATTACTCACATTTCTAAAGACAAGTCGAGTACTGATGGCTGACAGCCATTCCAGCAAAGCAGCCAATATCCCAACTTAACCCAACCCTTTCAGAGCACAAGCTGAACATGTCAAAGCCCCAGGCTGGGGCCCCAGACAGCTGCTGACAGTTATGTGGCATAACTGCATTGGCACACGAACAGTCTTGAGCACTCCACAATACAGCCTCTAGTGAGGGATCAGCTTGTTCCAAACAACAAATCCGGTGCGAGGTCTCTAGTGGCAGTAGATGCGAATTCAGGTTCCTTTAATCACATCTGAACTGCCTTTAAAACCCACGCATGGAAGTCCAGCAGCAGCACTTGCAGGGTGGAGAGTACGTCAGGAGTCAGAAAGGCCTGCGACTCAGTGGTTACACAGCTGTAAGTTTATTTTCAGCACTGTCACACAAGCAGCAATCTCCGCTGTTTCTCATTTATCTGGTTCAGTACCTCAACAGTGTCTCTGATTAAGGCCTCGAAGATCCCGTCTGCCAACTGCATCTTTACACACAGTTCATCCTCGTCATAGTTCACCCACTGTGCTTCTTCCTCGTGAAGTTCCTGCACCTTGGAGGTTAGAAAGGAAAAGGCAAAAGAAACATTACAATTCTGTTGCTCTAGGATAATATCCCCTGCAAAGTTCCAGAAAGAGTCCAAAACAGTGCGCATCTGCCAACAACATACCTGTCTTTGTAAGAAATTACAGGAAACATTTGGAATAGCAAAATGAACACAGATCTATTTGAACCAGGCTATTTCACTGTATGAACGTTTTCTACCTTTCACTGTAGTATCCATTTTAAAGGATTTCATATTCCTGCACGAGTTTTTCACTTGAAAGAACTCAGCTAATGGGATATTCTTGGCCAACAGCAGAAGCTCCATTAAAAAAAGTCCCTAATTGTGTATTTGCAAGAAGCTGATTCCACGCAGCTTAAACTGGTAAGAAATCATGCAAAGGCCTTGAACAGGGGAAGGAGAAAAAGAAAAGACTTTACTGCAGTTCAGTTTATTTGAATAAGAATTAGAAAACCTAAAGGAAATAACTAACTTTTCCAATTCTTCTGTATAGGAAGACAAAATTCTGGCATGTGTTTTATGATAGTATTACAACTCATTTGCACAGAATACTTCACGCTTCGTTGGATTTGACAGCATTATTACAAATGGAATTTTGTACCATTACATCTAAAAGAGTAACTCAAAGAGTATTTATTTCCTTCTATTCCTAAATTGTTGACAAGCAAATTCCTGTTTTACTGGTCACTGGCAAATAGGTGTTTTAGTAACAGACAAATATATAATTTCATTCAGCAAATCAAGTCTTAAGAGAGTCTCTCCAAACTGGACATCTCCAATTAAACTTATTAAAAATTTGTCTAAGTGACCATTTCAGTATTACAGATACATCCTAACAAAGCTCAAATTTTTGAGAAAAGGAAGAGTAGGTGCAAACATCACTCATATTTAAAATGACAAAGAAAACCTGCTGAAAGCTCTTTCTCTGCTCAGCTTCAGCAGAAAGCGCCTCTGACCGTAAATCCTACACTCTGAATTCAAAATAGATTTACACTGTCCACATAGACAAGTGGGCTAGACAGCTAGACACTGCCAAAGCAAGGTTAAAACATACCAAAAATCCACTAATCTAGTATCAATATGTAATAGTGTTATTACCTAAAGACAGTACAAGAGCTATAGCCCCAACACTCTCTCTCCCTCTTTCGCCTGAAGCTAAACCGCCCAGAAACTTGTCCGTTTTGAAGGTGACAGCTGCTGTAGTGTAATGATGATTCAATAACCCAAACACAGTGTGAAGCCCAAGAACAGGCTGCTATGGGAACCCCAGGGAACCGGCACTGCTTCAGGGTTTGTAGCCATTCATAAGGCTTCAGTTATACATGGGGTTTCAGTCCGACAGCTCCTTTCTTCCTCTCTAAAGAGAGCTTGGGGAGAGGGGCAGGGATCTCATCCTGCAAACAGCTTTGGAGGAGTTGTGCTTGTAAGTCTCTGCACTACCACAGTGAGCACTCCTCTTGCTTCCCATATGGCTGTCACAGACGAGGTGTTAATGGTTTCATTATGCTTCTTACTAATAAGGAAGAAGCAACAATATTGGCAATCAAGCTTTGAACGAGTGTTGTAGGTGAAAAATAATTTAAATTGAATGCTAACAAGCGGCAGATAATTGGGTATAAGTTTGTGTGGGGACAAATGTCTGAAATAGACTTCTGAACTCTCAAGCAGAAGCTTGCTGCCTGCAACCAGTATGTGCTGGTTGTAAATTTTGATAAACCCTGGACTAAACAATAGCAGCATGTTCCAAGTCCTCCCAGCCCTCCCATCAATAAAGAGGCATAAGACAGAAGCACCAATGTGGAGGCTGATCATGTGTTGTGTGTTTGCATCACAGACTATTTAGATGAAGAAAGGCAAGGGGTCATGAAAAGAAGAAGTGGTGCCAAAAAGAAGGGTTCCCAAAAAGCAGAAGTGGTCTGGGAAAGAAAACAGGGGCCCCAAAGGGAGGAGGTGAAGACCCTGGCTGGAGGAAATATCCTGGAAATGGGGGAAGATCCTGGAGGTGAAGGAGGTGGGTGCAGATGAATGCCAGGGGATACCAAGGGACCTTGACCGATGACATCCAGGACTGGTAACCGGAAGCAGCTGCACAATACCAACTGATGTGATTTTCTGCCCAAGCCTCCCAGGCCAGCAGTGACCTCGCTGCTGGGAAGTGAAGTCGAGACCTAGTGAACGTAACACTGGGGGTGAGGGGAAGCAAGTGCGTAAAATAATCAAGCAGGTTAAAAACTCTGATCTCACTGGCCCTTAAACAAACCCCAATATGTAGATCCACACGAAGCTGCTGTTTATTCTGTCTCACCTGCAACAACGTGATGGGACAGTTCCTCTACTGTGCTCCAGGAGGGAGAGGATGGAAGAGAAAAAAAAAAAAGATTCAGGGGATAAAGAAACACAGGTAAACTGGAGAGGACAAGGTAACTTGATCCAGGCAGAGAAAGGCTGGATGTTAAATAGCAGCAGAAATATCAAGAAAGAAAAACAGTATCAGCGATTAATTCTCTTGTCTCTATCATTCCCCTCTTTCTCAGAGGCAAAGTGCACAATTTCCTTTGGCATTAGGAGGACTTCCTCAAGCATACTTTTGGAAAGCTAAGAGAACATGCAATTTGCAGTTGCAGGCAAGTCTTGTTTATAGTGTATTCAGAACACGTGTGGAAACTGCCGTGCTGCTTTGCAGCCCTAGCTGCAGACTTCGGAGCCAAGACAGTTGCAACTGCTTTGCCTGGGAAATGTTTGATCCATTTGTTGTATTATTACAAACTGCTTCTAAGCAATGGAGACAGTTTGCTTGTATTTGGCTTATATTTGGCAACTTATTGTGGCTTTCATGGAATTGGGCTTTGCATTGTCTTCCGTACATGCACAGCATTTAAGTTCTTGCACATTCTCATGACAAAAGTAAAACTTCACGTATTTGATACCAGGAAGTAAGCTCTCTATACCAGAGAGAAACTGCATTTGGGCAAAGTCAGGAAAAAAACAGTTTTAATGAAACTGAATTCCATCCTACAGGAAAAGATAAATAGTGACACAATGCAGAAGGCTATGTAGTATGGTTTTTGCGTGCTTTGTTTGTTTGTTTTTTTAAACACAAACAAAGAAGGGGGCATGCACACAAAAGAAAAATCAGGAGAGAGAGGTAGCATGATCCTGCTGGTCATCTAATAAATGCCACAGTACCCAAAAAACAACACTTAAAAGAATATAAACTGAAGGAAATTTTAGAAAGTAAATTAGTGAGTTTTGATTGCTGAAGGTTCCTATTCAAAACCATGAATATCTGCAAAATAAACTACATTTAAGGAGTAACTAGATCATTTGGAGATTGAAAAGTACAAAAATCCAGAAATAAACTACTGCCTTGGAAGAATGCCAGTAGGAGGACGGCAGGCAGGTGCACTCTTACAGCCCTTCACTCTCAGAGTGCCTGCAAATCTTAAGATGCACGACTGCATATGAGCAGGCTTCAATTCTCTTCTCACTGTTGCACTCCCCTTGGGTTTAGATCTCGGGCGCTGCAGAAGTGGGCTTTCCAATTAAGCCAGCTTGATAGGAACAGCTTTGCAGAGTTCAAAACTGCATGGAGAGAAACATTCTAGCCCTTAAGTCAACAGGTCAGCTCTCTGTTGGCAGGCTTCTCAGGTGTGAAAGCTAAACACATAGGTTTGGCAGTATCATGTGAGCTTTGCTTTCTCAAGCTCCGGGTAAAAGGGAAGGGGGGGTGGCAAGGAAAGCAATGGCAGCATTTGTGCAAACAGATCAGCACAGGGAGGTTTGGCTGAAGACCCAAGTGAAAAAAAAAGTAGTGGAAACAGTCTATTATTAGCACCTGAACTTAAATAAGGAGTTCTTGCTGTAGTTTAAAAAGAGGTTTTAAAAGTGTAGGCAGCCTTGATGTACCGAAATGTGGTACCTCAGTCTGTGTACATTTGAGATTCTCCCACAGAGCACAGACAGCACACATGTGATAAACGTGGCAACACGAAGGGACATGAGAAGAAGAAAGCACACACCTAAACATTCCTTTAACTTGATTTTAAACAAAGCAGCTTTTCATAAATGTGACCCTCCCATACTTGTTTACTGAAAACCAAAATTTGCTGTAAATGTTAATAACTGGAGCAACTATCCAGCAGATCAGAGATCTCTCAAGAAATCCCAAAACAAATGCTTTCTGAGGGCAGAAATGCGTGATCAAAGTTAACAGTGCTGCAAAAAAGGAGAAGAGGAAGATGGTTTTTTGTCACTGGCAGAAAAACATGGCTAACTATATTGGTGTCAATGCTGGGAAAGCACAGACAAAAGTGAAAATGCAACTAAAGATGCAGTGACTGAGGGAAGTAACAAAGATCAAGGCAGAGTAAGGTGAAGGACTCATCCATCCTGTTCTCCCCTTAATTCCCAGCAGGTGTGATGGCTGACTGCAGTCACCCACAGGACCTAGCATCACAGACAGCACCAGTGCAGCACAGGCTGCCTCTGCAGCTGTGCCTCTTCCCCACAAGGCTGAACCTTTTGTGGAGACAAGAACCACTGGGAATTGTGTTTAGTATGATAAACCCAGAAGGACACATTCAGGGATCATCAGGGAGAGATTAAGCTGGGCAGAATAGCTTGGCACTTGCTTCTGTGCCTTCAGAAGAAATAAAAAGAAATTCAGCAAACAGCCATGGCTCCTGGTTTTACAGCCGCCCCACCATCCAGGCAGACGATGCCACTATTTAACAGTCATTACTAATATGCTGGAGAAGGAGGCATACAACAGAATCCCCTTCCTCTGTATCAAAACCCCTCTCACCCTTAGTCATGCCTAGCTCCTGGGTCAGGCAGTATTGGACAGTCAGATGCATTCAATCCTCTCATTGAAGTCACTAAAAATACATAGTTGTCTCAATAGAAGACTATCAAAGGATGTTTTCATTTGAAGGTTAGTTTTACTTGAAGGGGAAATAAAACTGGGAAGGACCTGTGCTCAAAGTTTAAATGCAAATAACAGAAGCCTAAGAATGTTTACCTCTGCTTTAAAAAGATCATGTTTTATTTTTAACAGTCTTTGTCTTTATAAGCAGCAAAAGAATGTGGAGAATCAAACAGCTCATGTATGTACTCACATGACATCCCCTGCCACATTGCAAGACGTGTATATTGGCTAAATCTTCACAAAAACTTGAACAAAGCATTTTCAACTGTGATTTCTAAAGAAGCTTCTACAGCACCTAAACCTACCAAAAGTCTTGATTTCTCTTTCAGGAAATTGCTGTATGGTACCACTTGAATATACTTTAAACAAAATTTGCAAAACTCCAAAACTGACCTCTCAGTTTAGGGCTACACTGTGAGTTACTAGCGGATAGGCAGCAGACCTTGCACAGACCTTGTATATCCACTTGTGACCTTGGATTTGCATTATCACAGAACTCATGACCTTAAGCACAAGTTGGAGGCTGACTAGGAGACAGAGAAAGCTATCCAGATACTTCATGTTTTATAGAGATTTTAATAAAACAAGGTAAGAGAAATTGAACACTATTCTCCTTAGGTTTTCAGTTAGAAGTTTCTCTGATAGTGTCTCACATTACAGTATAAACGTGTTAGCAATGCCACTGAGACTACCTTATTCCTAAAGCACGGCATGCTGCAATCTTTGCAGAGTTATTCCCAGTCTTCAGCTAAAATTTTATTACCATATTCTTGTGAGAACAAAATAAAATTAAACACATTATTTATTAAGCTAAGCTTGTCACAGCTCCATTAATCTTTCATGTCTGGGGCTGCATGTAAATCGCAGACCAGATCGTCTGAACTTCAAACTCGTTCTACCTAAAGCACTTTGGATGCCTTCAACTAGAACAACTTTTTCCAGTCAGGAATCTTTCTTTCCAGGTATGGTTCAAAGAAGTTAGGAAATTGGTACACAAGCATAATAGTTGTACTATTAGTTCTCTCAGGGATCTAAACACAAGACTTTTTTTGTGCATGCTTTAGCAGCCTCCATATCCCAGAAACAAGTGTATCCCAGAATCAAGCGTACTAGGATATGCAGGTCCTATACATAGATATTCTATTTACATACAATTAAAATTAAATCCCTGGGAAAAAGCATGTGTTGGAAACCTTCCACTGATGGGCAATTAAAAGACCACACGACCCATGACTCGAAGTTACTTATATGTGCACGTGTGTGGAATCAATTTCAGGTATAATTAAGTGAAGCACGGTGTTAATGACGACTCATATTCCCAAGCAGAACCTTCACTATCATTATAGCCAATAAAGATGTTAATCATCCTGCAATACAAGCCAACAAGTAACTTTCAAAAACTAGTACACAGCCAGACATGCTCTATCTTACGCAGTTTTAACACTGAACTGCCTCTGCCCCAGTGGCAGCTGCAGTCACTACTTTACAACAAGTACTACAGGAGCAGAAGTCCGATGCGTTGCTTAGCTTTGAGGAAATGCTTAGCTGTGGGTACCATCTGGCAGACTGGTTACCTTGTACTAGGGATTATCATGTTCCATACTGTCTCTTCGAAGTCTTTGCTATTCTAACCCAATGACTTTGCTAACCAGATTCGACTGAAAGGTTGCAGATCTGGTCTACTAAGTTCTCAGTATCACTGTCTCCAATTAAACAATATTACTTCAAAATAAAAACATTTTAAATTAAAGTAAGAAGAAAAACATACTCCTTTCTCAAAGAAAAAGTTTACTCTCAGTCAAATATTTCAATGTTTCCTTCTGTAAATTCATGCTTTAAACTTCTGGGAGCGGGCAAATTTATACTCCAGTCAAATCAGTAGGCATGAACAGGGAATTCACTCAAGTCACCCCACTTCACTGGCACTGGACTTCTGTTTTTGTCAATAGGGTGCTCTCTAAAATTAAACACCTTCTATCAAGACCTCATGCACGCTTTATATTCTTTAAACAGCATGATCAAATACTGAAAAATACAATCATATGTCACACCAGTCTGGTGGACAGTATCTGACATGATTGCTTATTTTCATCCACTGACCAGTATATGATCCACTCGGTCTCGTTTCTTCCGCCCAAATTTCATCATCTTCTGCCAGTCTGTTTTGTGATTAGGCTCCTTCCTCAGGCTGAACAACTTCAGTACTTCAGCTGCAATGAAGCTCTACAGAACAGTAAAAGGTGAGATTTATCACATTTGAGCTAAGAAATGAAATGTATGCACTAAGTACCTGCCCTAAAAAGTCACATTATAGAATGCATATCAGCTTTCTGTTTAGCTAAGAGACATACGGTGTATGCAAGAAAGTTACAGTGAAAGTCTTTGAGGCAGTATTACACAGGCAAAACAATTATTAAATCCAGAAGTGGGGGTGGGAAATGACACCCACTGCTGTAACAATCTTGAGAACATAAACTTTCAATTAAACAGTACAGCAAACAGGAGATTATGACAATTCATTTTATGGGAGAATATTAAAGAAAAGCAGGGTGGGAGTTTGGTGTCCTTGTCCTGTGCCCCTGCTCTCCCCTGCCACATGCTTTTGAAAGTCTTCTCAACTAACAGAGTGATCTAGATACTATTTATGTCTTTTACAGACAGTTAACATGCTGTATCTTCAGCAGGTTAATCAAAATACAGTCAAACACACACACACACACACCCCCCCACACCCAGTTTCAGAAGAAACAGTACAGGTAGAAGTCTTCATTTGTGTCCTGATGAGCTGTATGGAAGGTTCTTTGTTGAGCACTTTCAGGGAGACAGGTTTTTTTCCAAATGTCCAGCCCTGCAAGTTTAACCTAGGTCCAGTCAGGCTCTAGCTTTTTGGGGTTTTGTCCTTTCTTGAGCACTACCACCAATAACAGGAGACCTCCTCTGGCTTGCCAAATACAATGTCCTCACCGCTCAAATTTTGGGTCCCTCTGGGCAACTCCCACTGCCCTCAATGAGGTTGGCACAGGTGTGTCTGAGTAAAAAATCCAGCTCATCCAATTTGGCCCAACCCTACTGTTGGATCCATGCCAATATACCCACATAGAGTTTCACTGAAATCTGCTAAAGCAGCAGTCTGTCAGCATACCAATTCTATAAGACCAAGGTCATCCTGGCAGTTCTGCACAGAGGACTAAGGTTTAAAAGCAACCAGTACCAGCCAAAAGGACAGGGAGGCAAACGGATTGAGTAAAAAAAGGACCATTTTGACAAACTCCCTTTCAGGTTTGCAATCTCATTTCTCTTCTCAACTCACCTCTTGCTGGATACGCTTGTTACGATCTTTTAACACTCAGGCAAGCGCCACTACAGTATTTTTCATCTCACTTTCCCTGCATGACAAAGACTTCTTCCTACCTTGATTTCATCCAGATCATTTGGATCTTTTACTCGGCGAAAGTAAGCAGATGCGATCCTACACGGTTTCATCCAAATAGGCTGATTTAGATTAGGATCCTCCGCAAAGATTTCCCCAAAGATCTCTTTTGTTAAATCAAATACCACCTTAACGAAGAAAGAAGTAAAAGTTAAGGCTTCTGTTGCTCATGGTAAACATTCAAAGGGCAAGAACAAAATGCCTGAAGACTGTACCTTTTTATAAACCTGCTTGTCTATCGTGTCTGTGTCCTGCTCTTTGAGGGTACTACTAAGATCTGTATGAAGGCCGAAACTTTGAAGATCATGACCCAGCTCTTTCTGTTTCCAGAGTTCCTCAGCTGCTGCATGCACCATACCTTCCACCTCCACTGCAGTATGAGGGACCGCCAAAGGCTCCTCACACGGCTTTGTTGGCACTTTCTGCGGTTCTACCTTGGGCAGCACTGCTGGTTCCTCAGCTTGCTTCTGCTGGACCTTACGGGAACTCAGGCCATAGTCCTCATCAAACCAGTCTTGATCATCTCCCAGCACACTCAGGAGCTCCTGATTGAGCTCCAGCTCTGCCAGTCTCTTGGCAAGCTCTTCCTGACCGCTGGCACCAAACACTGGACTCTCCTGCAAATTAAGAGCCACAGAGTAAATATAAAAGTGGTGTCACACTGTTGTCCGACTCAACTTATATTTTTAAATGCTCTACTGATATAATTGGCAATATATGCACAAATACTCAGAAAAATAACAAATAGCCCACAGTAAAATTAGAAATGCTTTGATTCAAATACCTGGGGTTTCTACCACTCCTGATGAATGCTTTCAGAGTGTTCCTACAGAGCTTAAAAGACTGTGCATCCTGCCCACTGTCTGTCCTAATGTTTAACTGTTTATGAAAAGCTAAGTGGTTTAAAAAACTGATAATGTGACATATAACTTTTCACTTCACTTACCAGCAGTCTCAGATCTAAATCAACAGCCTAAAAGCTTTTAGCAGGCGATGGCTGTTTTAGTGACTGAGTGGTGCTCACACCGGTGAAATGGGCTGAAGCTTTCTGTGATGATAATATATTGAGATCAATGGCAAAGCAGACAGGTTTACTGGGATCTTCAGCAGAAAGGCCAAGTCCTATATCTGTATCATTAATGGTTGTTCTGAGGAAGCTTGAACTTCCACTACTCATGATATATTCAGTGGATAGAGCAGTCTGACACCTGAATGACCTCCACAGCAACTAATTATGTTTGAGGATGATTATTTCATATCAAGAATAGACAGAGGTAAGTTTACAATCTACTGTATTTTGCCATTTTTAGAATAAAAAATGAGGGTAAGGATTAAATACAAATTGAACATGAAGCAGAATGCAACCTAAATTGAAAGTATTTTTCACTTTCATGTGCCAAAATGTGTCTTACAGCCTGTAGGGCTACCAAAACAAGCTGTGAACTGGGATACATGAGAACACACATGTAAGACATATATACAGGCAATCTCCACATCACCCAACAGAACTGGGGAAAAAACAAACTGATGCCACATTGCATTCCTCAGATTCAATCATCATCAGTCAAAGGAACAATTGACTCTTAAAATCAGTGCAAGATGTCTGTTACTCACTGGTCTGGGACACATGTCTGGAGAGGAAAGTTCTTCTCTTTCATCTTCCAAATCGGAACTTAGAAAAAAGTTATTCAGTCCGTCGGGAACCTGCTTTTCTACCTGCTGGGATGGGGTACTGGATTCCTCCTTCACATCACAGAGCTCCTGGTTGCTGAGCTGGATTTTCTCATTCCTGACCTTCTTTATTTCCTGTAGCTGGTTGACGGTGTCTTTCACAAAATCTCTAAGTAGACTGTCTGTCAGTAAACTGACCTTTTCCAGTTGGTCTTTCGACTTTTCTTCCTCTCCAAGTGGTAGTCTAAGCTGGGCTTCTAACTGGTTCTTTTCTTTTGTTAGCAAATCCAGAAGTGGAGTTGCAGGCTTCTCCACAACTCCAGGAGAGAGATCATCTAAATTTTCAGCACATTCTTCCCCCAGCGTCTTCTGCCTCTCCAGTTTTTCAGAAAGAAAATCTGAGACGTCATCCAACTGAACAGTGGAAATCTCATCCACAACACCAGAAATGAGAGGAGCAAGGCTGGCCTCCTCTTTTACAGCATGCTTCAGATAATCCACCACTGACTGTTCTTGGGCAAGTGATTCAGTAGCTACAGAAATTTCCTTTATGCTGTTTGCCTTAGAAGCCTCTTCATCAACCCTTTCCCTAGCTGAGGCTTCTGAAACAGCTGTGTCTGCAGGAGCTTTATCCTGGGAATAGTTCTCTGTTGCATCTCTGCTCTGGGGTTCATCTTCCTTGCTAGGTTTGGAACTTCCTTTGTCTTTCTGCTCTGCTTTGTGTTGCTTCTCCAGTCTATCATCGAAGAATGAGTCTTCATCCTTATTTGTGTCTAAATGGCTATCAATACTTTCTGTAATGTGAGAGATTTTTGGAGGAGGAGCAAAAATACCATGCTTTTCTTTGCAATCAAAATATTTAATACCATCGTAAGTTCCATTATTGTTCCCTTCAGGTTTATCCAACTCCACGCCAGCCCAAAACCCTTTGGCAAACTTAGTCAGACCTTTGAATCGCAATGTTCCAGGTTGGACTTTACTCACAAGTACTCTATCACCAATGTTGAAATTTGGCAAACTATCTGTTTCTTCTGTGATCGAAACAGAGGTCCACAGCGGTGATTCGGTAGGGGCCTGTTCTTGCTCCACATCTCTGCGTTCAGTATTTTTTATAAGTTCTGTTGGGGACTTAAGTTCTAGTAACCTCTCTGAATGCATGCTGCCAGAGAGAGAGAGAGACCTGTCACTGAGGTATTCACTGATTTCGCCATCACTGCCAAGGCTGGTGGATCTACTTCTGCTGGTTTGTGTGTGCTGTGACCGCTCTGTCGGAGACTGAGCATCCCCGTTAGAAGAGAGAAGAGATGCTTCAAAGTCATCTTTGTAACATTCCCCAGGAAGTGTTTCTTCAACTGACGCTTGTTTTCTGGAAGAGAATCCTTCAAAGTCTTCAAGGTATGATGGCTCCTTTTGACTAAAACGTTCTTCTGAAAGCAGATAGCCTTTTTCCTCTGCTGATTTGCTCAGTTTGGAAGAAGACTCTTCTACACTTGGGCCAGTTACAGCATCTTTATCTGCCAGTCTCTGTTCTAAGATTTCTTCCGTATCACAAAGACTTTCCACAGCCAAACCAAAGAGTTCCTTCTGAGAGAGTTCGTTTTCAGAACAGAGGACTTTCTTTGGAAGGATGTCCAGTGAGCTCTCCTGTTCTTTATCTAATGTTAGCAAGACATCAGAACTCTCCAAAGGCTTAACATGAGAACCTTCAATCTCATATTCCTTGGACTTTATGTATTCCAAATCTTCCTGTATCTCAGATTTATGACTGAAGGCAGCCTCATCATTGGATGCATTTACCACATTGTTCATTGACCCATGGGATATCCTGCTAACATCTTTCACGTCTTTGAGAAGAGATGATGGGGGTACATTATCTAAGGAATCACCCGATCCTGCTCTGGAACTCCTTGGTGACATTAAAACCGAGGAAGATGTTCCAGAAGGTTCTTCTGCATGAACATCTGTCACAGCCACCTTCTTGGTGTGCACAGACACAGATCTCTCAGTTGTTGATGACACAGCATCTTGAAGGAAAATAAAAGGTGGATTACAGCAGATCGTATAGCCTGCATTGTTTTACTGAAAACTGCAACCATAGGCAACAAAATTAACACCAAGGTTTCTATGCTAAAAGAAGATACAAACTGGTGCCTTGGAAACATATATTTCTAGCTGTCCTATGAACATAAGCAACATTCTTTCAATTCCAGGGTTCTAACGCTTTCTTTCTGATTCTGTTTCTTGTACCAGTATTTCATAATGCCATACAATACTGAGCCCCAAGGTAAGGGCTCAGTTATTTGTTTGCAAGCCTCAAAACCAAGATGAGAATGGTAGATAACGATTGACAGCAAAACATTGAAAACTATCTCAAAAAAACCCTATTCCTAAATGTCTATTCCTATTCTTATTTTTGGTTTCCTTACTTTCCTCAAGTGATAAAGGAACAGGAAACAAAAGAAAGGACAAAGGTTGTCATGTAATTATGGTTCACACAAACCTCAGCAAGAGTAAAACTAAATACTGAATATACAGGAAACAGGAGAAGCAGAAGCCTACTAAATAAAAATAGTAAAAAATACAGCTCGATCATTATGGTAATTATGAAGTCTGCATGCTCTCTTAAAAACTCTTCTTGAATCAAGAAGGAAAAGATTAAAGAAGTTTAAAACAGTCAGTCTTCAAGATCTTCATATGTATTACAGATTCTTCCAGTCACATACCTGCATGTTCTGAAATGGATTCCAAAGATGCTCTGGATCGCTCTGATTCAGCCAGTGATTTCCAGTTTTTAGCTGTCTCAGGCCTAAAGTTGAAAAATCAAATTGCATGAATCATGGTGACACCAGAGTGTTGGTTTTTGGGTTTTTTTTTTTAATAGATAAAAATGGAAATACAAGCATCTATAATTATAATACCACACCAATGATAACAAACAGTTTGGTTTGTCAACATACTGTGACCTTAGAAAACAGGAATGGGGACAGAGAGGAGATTTTGGCGAGTCCTGGAAAGTAATTTTCTAGAAGAGTAATCAAACTAACCTTTTTTGCAGCCAAAAAGAGAAAAAGAAAATAACTTTTTTTTTTTTTTTTACTTGAATGCACTAAAATTGCACCATCTGCTGGAAAAAATGAAACACTTAAAAATACAGTAGGAAGTGCAGAAGTCAGTTGAATTCTCTACCTTTTAAAGCCTAAGATCTAAACCAGATTTAAGTTGCAAAGACGAATGGTTTGCCTCACACAGTGTGGCAGGCATAATGGGTGAACAAAATGGGAAAAAATTTGGGTCAGTAATCCATACAACTATTTGGCACATTCTTGCACAATTGAAAATTATTGTTCAGAAAGAACTTGAAAATAGGATCTGAAAGACTGGGCAGGACAAATGTGAGATGCGTACAGTTACAGGGACAGTACATCTTATCTGTTTTGGGTCTGATGAGACCAGCAAATAGGTCAACAGGATACTGCCGCTGTCCAGTGCTTTAAGGAAGAGCAGTTACCAGCTTTCCTTGCACTCGTGGTTTCTGCTAAAACAGCATTCACCGCAGTTTCAGAATAATCTCAAAAAGAAGAAGAAATCCCAGTTACCTATGAAGCGGTGGTGCCTTGATCTTAGGTTTTTCAGCAGCAGCTGAGGATGGAGTTTTAATCTGAGGTTTGGCTGTGGGTGATGCCTCCAGATCTTGGCTCAGCTCTGCTTCAGTCTTCTTAATAAACTCATCATATGACTGCACGTGGAAAACAGTTATGGCTGTTAGTCTACTAAACCATTAGTACAATTCAGCAATTAAAACCCATTAAATGAATAAAGGATACACTCGGTTTCTCTGTCAAGCAATCTATTTAACTTCCTAAAGCTCTACAGTTGTGAATCCTAGAAATTTTAATACTTTACTTTCAAAAACAAATTACATGAGCATCACTCTTTAATCGAAGCTAGGATACATAAGCCCCCTGCACACTGCTAGTAACCCATTAAAGATATACATTTTAAAAAGGAATCATAGAATAGTGTGGGTTGGAAGGGACCTCTAAAGGTCATCTAGTCCACCCCCCCTGCCGTGGGCAGGGACATCTTCAACTAGATCAGGTTGCTCAGAGCCCCGTCCAACCTGACCTGGAATGCTTCCAGGGATGGGGCATCCACCATCTCTCTGGGCAACCTGTGCCAATGTTTCACCACCCTCAGGTAAAAAATTTCTTCATTGGCATTTTTGCCTCAAGACTCTGGTTCATTATTGAAAACAGTTAAATAGCCAGAACACAGTCACACTTCTATCACAGTAATGTGTCTTTCACAGCTGTTGATACAATATTCTGCCAACAACATCCATACTATAATGATTTATTCAAGGCTAACAATCTTTTACTTCGCCCTTCTTCCTACTGTTCCTAACCTCCAGTTGTTTGATCAAACTGGCTTCCTGGGCCTTCAGTCTCTCCTTTTGTCTCTTTTTCTGTTCCTTTTTCAGCTGGTAAACCACAGACTTCCTTTTCCGTAGTTCATCCTTCAGGGCCCTGATCCGTCCTTCAATGTCACTTTGATCAGATGTGGTTTCTGAAAAAGTTTAGTTTTAGTCTTTGTAAGCTTGCATCTCACAAAACAGTTCTATGCAAAACAATGAACTAATCATTTAGTAAATACAAGATATGGTCCAAGCAAAATATCAAAGAATTTAATGTCAACATGTTAATCTTAACATAATAAGACTCTTAAAGTGCGATCTCAGGTTCACAACACTACTATATAACATATGAAATAGTGTTGCATCTTATTTTAGAAGAGAAACGCTCTGATACATACAGTAACTTGTTACCAAACTTGTTCACGTCAACTGCCCATGTTTATACTGCTACCTCATTAACTGCTTATCATGTCAGCTGTTGCAGAAATTAATTTTTTTCTGACATATTTAAAAATAGGACAACTCAAAGATCCGTACAAAAAATATATCCGAAATATTTGTTTAGAGTCACGATATACGGTTTCAAGCTACAACGTACACTTCATTGATGAGAATTTCACTTGCAACAGTGGACTCCAAAAGCAGTTTAGGTTTCTGGCCCATTTAGATTTCCTACCACCTAGACTAAATACATCTATGAAATGGAGAGCTGACTGGTCAACAGTTGAAAGGGAAGTTAGTTTGAACAATGTGGAGATTTTCACTGTTGTCAGGCCTCTGGATGACAATTTATTCAGGGTGAATGGGGGTAGTGTTGAGCTTAGACACGTGGTGGACTACTCAATAATAGCTTATACAAAGTCACTTGGCATATCTTTGCTCAAAGTTCAATTTTACAGGCATTCCTATAATGCCATTACTGACTGTAGCTATTTTCCACCTGAACAATTTTTTTCGTAATCATTATCCTTAGTAATTTTAGTAAGATCTCCTCCATTCCTCTCCAACCCCAGAATTCCCTGCAACCTGGTCTTCCAGCCCTTCTGATGATGTTCTACCTCTTTTCCCTTGGGATGCTGTCCCCAGATACTTAGTTCCATTCTCTGCATGATAACCCCATTCTACCAATAACTCTGGTACTTTCATCATTTCTGCTGTAACAACCTCTTAGTCTCTCAGACCTCTCAGACTTTATAGACTGCCTCAGTGTCTCATTCTTTTCTGCCCCTTGTTTCTTGTTTTAAATGTATACCAACATAGTGCAAAACAAGATCCTTGTCCCAGATTGGTGCTACCACAATTAAGTATGAAAAGTTCTTCAAAATATTTATTTGATGTAGTCTTACTGGAGCTCCTCCCTGTGGCTGATGTCCCCCTTCCTCTTCTATAGCAGCAGCTCCTAGGAGAAGGATCTTGGCTGGTTTGCCTTTCTAACGCTCAGTATTACCTATAATGTTTTCTGGACCAAAAGACTTGGATGCTCATAAACACCAATTGCTTTACTGAACATCCTAGAAAGTAAGTCACCAGTATTATTTGGTCAGCTAGCAAGAACAGCTGGACATTTTGCTAATCAATCTCATTTCTCAAGAAAACAAACCACCATAATGAAGGATTTCATCATCAACAACAGCCAGTAAATACAATCAAATTACTGTATTCTTTTTCCATTAACAACTGTTGTTAACCATTTAGAGAATTTAAAAAAAACCAAAAAACAAAACCACACCAACAAAAAACCCCAGCACAAAAAGAATGGAATCTCACTGGCTAATCAGGAGTACTTTATGATGCCACTGTAATTAACAACTCCTCCCGAACAGTAAGTGACCACTATGTAATTATAGCTTTTCTTGATCAACTCATAAGGGAAAGATCTGCACATGCTTTCATCTTTGATGATCTTGCCTACGCATGCATCGGACTGACATAGCAATGACTTCATTACTACTCAGCAGCTTGGAAGATTTGTCTCTTTACAATGGAATGATTTATTGTGAAACCAGCACCATCCTGATCGGCTTCCCACCTCTTATACCTTTCTTCGGCATTTGAAATCAAAGATAGCAAATACTTTATTTTACAAAAGTTTATTTTCATGATCACTGTTGCCTGCTCTACTTTTTATAATGGCTTCCTTATGTGGTTGCTCAGTCAGAACCTGAAAATAACTTTATCAAGTTGCTGAATGCTTCACTGTGTTGCAAACTGCCCTCCAGACAGAATCCCAATACAAATTACTCAGTGCAAATACTTAGGTGTTACGTATTCATTTCTCTATCCAGCAGGAGAACAGCTGCCTCAAAATTACTGTGTTTCTATTGCACTTAGATACATATTAACTAAAAAAAAAAAACCCTAAAAGATTATTGAGCTTGCTACATCAAGCACCACAATGGATATGTACGCACGTCAGTAAGTTATCCATCTATCACAAACAACAGCCTGTACATACAACAGAACCACCTAATTCTTTTTCCACTAAAGACTTATTGATCATTCAGGGAATTAAAAGAAACAAGCGGGAAAATGCTATCTCATTTGCTAATAAGTATTTTATGATGCTGTATCAACTGCACTGTGGAATACAAGATGTTTTAGAGACTAAAAGCACAGAAAGGTTCAAAACAGACCACAGTTTAACAGAGCTGATGCTGGTGACCCACTGAATGGTGGCTCAGGAAGTCCTGGAATCCACATGACTAACAGACTGAGAGAGCACACCAGGGAAAGGACCATGCTGTATCAGTTCCCTTCTAATATTCTCTCCCTCAGCATTTACTGGTAGCCAGCTTGGATACTGGCTAAAAGAGTATAAAGAGTCCATATAGTAGATCTTGTATTTTATAGCTCAAAATGCAATCTCAGGCCCTATTTTATGGCACACAGTTCAAACCCTCCTCCAAAAATAAAAATATATGTCCTGAAGTATCCATTCATTCTGCACATGCCAGTGCAGCTCCAACAGGTTCCCTCATACTGCCATAACAACAGAGCTATACTGCTTCTGGAGCCAGGCAGTGTTCAGAAGGAGGACGATCATGTTTGTATGCTGTTGAACCATATTCTGCCTTCTTACAACATGAGGGGTGGAACAGTGTCGCCTGTTAAAAGCACAGCTAACCTTGGTATTTTTAAATTCTAGGACCACCTTAACTATTGACTCTTATCTTCTTCATACCTGTTTGCAGGAACCTGTGTTGCTTTCTAAAAGAAGAGATAATATAGAGACCTTCTTACATTAAGACCTTCTTAAGCTGAAGTGATCAAATTACATCATGGGAAAATACTCCCACAAAACCCCAAACCGCGGCAATTTCCAGGAATTTCTGTTTGCCTCCCTACATCTATGTCTGCATTTCAAGTTTACTTGTTAAAAGCAAAAGCTTTGAAAAAGCAGTTTAAACCCAAGCAGGTATTATGCTTACCTGACTGTGTCAAAGATAAAGATTCATCAGACCAGTTGTGAGATATCTGATGAGACTTCACAGGTGAACGTAGCTGTCCTCCAGTTCTATGGCTGCCTTTGCTGGAATCTTGCTTTGATACAGATATGCTGCTTTTGGGAGGAGACTATGGGAGAAGAAAAGGACAAATAAGTAATTGCTTGTAAAGCTCAGTTTGAAAGTAGGAGATCATTGTCATCAGGAGCTAATTACAAGGAAAGAACAGCATGACTAGAGAACATCTCATAAGCAGTGGTACCCATCCAGGTATCTTAAGAAGAATTTAATCTTAGTTTGCTAGACAATAAAACAAAAATACCAAGAGCAGCAATAACTGACTGCTTACTTTGAGCTTAGATTTCAGTAAACCTGCTTAGACTACTCTATTACTACCTAAGTGAACTGACATGGTTCTGACTCACAGGTGTTCAATACAGTTTATGTAATCTTATTTCGTAACAACTATGGCAATAAGAACCCATACTAAATAATCCGTGAAACCAAAAGGACCATTTCATGTAAGAGGTGCAAGATGCCATTCTAAATCAGTAAAACAACAGAGCACTATTTGTCTGTAGCCAGGCAAATAATTCTAAGAGCAAATATTCTTCCAAAATGCTCTTACTGCTGCACCATTATACCACAAACCTTTCACACACCTTGAACATAACCTCTAGCACATATTAGACATTTTACCTCACTATCTTCTCAGCAAACTTTCCAATAAAGTATTTGTAATAAGTCTAGATGAGCAGTTCTTTTACCCCACAGACACTGCATTTTCTGTCTCACTGAGCACAGGGCAAAGTTATCAGGATGAAACTTATCAAAATTATCAACCAAGTAGAAATAATAGTTGAAATAGAACAATAAGGCAGAATTAGCTAGCAAGCAGACATAATCTGAAACCCAAAGGATTGTGCCTGACATTACAGCTCTGCTTCTTCACCCTATAGCTATACTTCGGGATACATTACTTACAAGTAAAGCAAAGCGGAAAAACAGAGCATAGTTTCCATGGCCTCAAAGAATTTATACAATGGTAACAAGCTAGCCTACAGCTAATTCACACTGGTAAACTGGGTCAGTGTTCCACCACTTAATACTGCATACCTACGTGACACACGCAAAACATTTTGCAAGGCTACCCACAAGTTTAAAATTATCTAAACTCTGCGCTGAAGCAATTTTTCCTCAAGACTTCAAAGAACATATCTGATCACAACGTTTATTCACAGTAATGTAAAATGGTATTGCAAACACAGAAAATAGTTTAATCTCTGCTTTGACAACTGGGATGGCTATACTTAATACTTCTCTGTTAGCTTTTTACAAGTGTAAGAATATATATAGCATAAAAAGCTCACTCACAAGTTTGCCAGGTGAGGTAGAGGACTTGAACTCTTCAGAATAAACCATTTCTTCATTAGTTGTATTCTGATCTGGGCTTTCTGGCTGTCCATGGCCCATAGTCTCTGATGGGACAGACTCAGCAGCTAGACTGCCAAGATCTTCTGGGATAGAGCTTTCACTGTTCAGATGAGAACAAGAAGGCACTGGAGACTCTTCTTCACTAGCTGTTTCTGAGATTGAATAATGAGAGAAAAAAACAAAGCGCCTAAGAACTTGTACTGACTTCTATACCTTCAGAGATACCGCTGCCTGCATATAAAGTAGTAACTGCCACCAATACATGTCAAATTGATAAGTGTTATTTCACTCACCTAGACACCAAGGGTGGAATATTTAACAAGAACAAGCATGTTTACCAGAGAACTATGAATTAAGACTGCCAAACGTTCTTAGTGATTGCTGAATGTCTAAAATAAAGGGGTTTTCAGGATATTCTAACATTTTCCAGACAACACACTCCAAAAAGATTATTAGGGAAACCTGTCCTTCCAGTTGACCATACACCAGCAAGAGTCACTATTAGTCTGAAGAAGTCACAGAGGAGCATATAATCTGCAAGCCAGATCTTGAATTTAGAATTGATTGCTTCCTTTACAGTAGTTGCAGAAAACATTTTAATGTTATGATTTCATCATGAGTCTCTCAACTAGCAACACGTAAAATAATAAGTTGGGTTTTCAATATTCCTGTTTACTAAATTCCGCAGGAGTCACAGCATTACTGAAGCAGCCATGGTGAATTATTCAATATTTGAGCAAAGGCTGGGGAGAGGAACTTCTGAAGCAGGGCTGTGCTCCAATGCTTACTGGTAGATACAAATTAATAGAAAGCAAGTTTATTTTCTCATCTGTTGATGAGAATTCAGCATTCATGCTGAATTTTTGTTCATTGGAACTTACTGACTCATACACACATCATCTTTAAAATATCTTACAATGCCTAAAGTCCACATGACTGTTTTCAGTAACAAGTGTAATAGGGCATTAATCTGAATTCCCTTTGCACATTCAAAGGACATGCTGCGTGCTTTCAGCAAAGTGGGGAAAAAAAGGAAAATTGATTATTTCTAGAACAATCCCTGAAGTTTCATTATTTTCTCCCACTGCAATCCAGTTGTCTGTGATTCATGCTGAAAGTATGGTCCACTTAAGACAGAACAGTAAAGCTGTAGCTCCCAAAATCTGGGAACTTGTTTTTCCTCACAATAGCATCATTTATACCAATTACATTCTAGCACACTTCAGCACAGTTGCAGATTTCAAACAGTTATACTGCATTAACAACAGAGGGAAGAAAAAATGCTTTCGATTTTCTGAAAACACAGGCAAGGGGAAAGCAGCTCCTGGTAAGAGCCATCCTCACCAACAGTAATAAGGCTAACAGGATAGACACTCAAACAGCACTACAGGGGAAAATTGTTTTAATGGATTAAGTTTGGAACATGATCAGCAAAAGATCATGCAGTATTTTTGTATTGAAAGACAGAAATATAGTTTAAATTGTATGTAGAAACATCTGATGGGCCTACGCTGCACTGTTCACTTGAGAAGATATACAGCAAAGAAGGAATATGCATTTAACTAAGGTGTAAAACAGGGCTAAAAGAACAAGGCAACAGAAGGCAGTAAAGAGTGCAGAAATTGAGATTCTAAGAGTGTCCAGAGAAGAACCACCACCACCAAAACATCAAAAAAGGAAGAAAGTGCGAACCTAAGCAATCGTTGTATCAAATTATGCATTTACTCTTGTCATTTGCATCACATCCCCCCTCTTCCTATTACCTTTGGGCTCAGTCCTCTGATCCCCCAGATCTTTCTTGGCTATTTTGGCTTTGAGCAGCTCTTTGTCCCAGGCAGCTAGAGCCTGCTTTTCTATCTGCCGTATTTCTGCTTCCTCTGCATCCAGGCGGCGTTTCCACTCCAACAATTCTTCAGCATGTTGTCGACGCTGCATCAGCTTCTGTTCTCGCTTAGTTAGGAACCTGACAGACAGAGCAGAAGACAATGGGAAAACAGCCAACCACACTCAAAGGTCCTGATACCCAGATGCTCTATTGCCACAATTCCCAGAACTATAGCTGTTCAAATTGTTTTCTAGGATAATATCCACATTAACTACTATCTCCTAAACTTCTGATGTGCTGCTGAAAAAACCCAAACAAGTAGACAAGAGGTTTTTTCTTTGCAGTAAGTAAAGTCTACAACATACTGTAAACACGCTGCTTACATTTTAAAGATCTTCAAAACCACTAAAAGTGATACTAACTATGCACTAAAATGAACAGGATAAGTTCCCAATTTCAGGATGTGAAAAGTAACTGTGGTATTAAACTGGAACCCTCAAGAAAGCAGTTTGAAAAATGAACCTTTCTTTTTCGTAATCCCAACGACAGAAAAACTGTAACCTCAGCTGCCCAGTTCTTTCCAAATACATAGTTATAAGAGAAGGCGATTCTGTATTAATAGTTCTCCTGAATTACTGGAACTTTTATCCTTTTTCCTTTAAGCATCATCTCTGTGGATTGCCACACTTGGAATGTTAATTGTCAGCTGACAGCATCAAGAGAGTAAGGATGCAGGGCTGTTTTTCCCAGGTACTAACAGATCAGGCTGCTAATTTAAGAGTAGATAAAAAGTAAAGCTCATGCTGAAAATTAGCAGGTTTTTTTTTCTTTCTGACAAAGATTTCTTAAGTGATCCGTGAAACCTCACAAACGGGGAAATTCTTAGAGAACTTCATAGGTATGAATAGGTTTGTGTGCATATACTAGTCCTCTTTGCCAGCTCTTGAACAACAGTATCTCTAGTCTTACTTCTAAATATTGAAGTAACCAAGACCATATAGCATTTAACCTTTAAGATAGTAAATGGAAGCAAGTTCAACATCAATTGCACACACTTCCTCTGACATGCCAAGCCTAGAGAAGAGTGTACATCAATCCATTCATCTCCTACACTAAAATTTTTAAGAAGTCATAGAAACAATCTGCAGAAAATACACGGTTTGCCAGCCAGAGCGAGAGTTCGTCATTGGTACAGAAGGTGTGGTGCCTAAAAAGGCAGTCTTCAAAGACTTGTGATATTTTGCTTTGCAAATGCCTTTATAATTTGTAATTTTCAAGCCATCCCAAACACTTAGCATCAAAGTTTTTAAGCTGCAAAGCAGATAATAATTTCATTTGTGCTTTTTAATCTCTCGTGTTTCAAAAAACCCTTTTATTTACAGAGACTGGAATAACCAACTGGCTAATCTGCAGGTCTCGCCTGCTAAGGGACATTTCTTGTTTGCTCACTTAGCGTTCATTCTGTTCCCTGGAAAAGTGAGCTGGCAGTTGATCAGAAAGGGTAAGATTCAGATAAGTCCTTCTCTAAGACAGATTCAGATAAGGTGGACAAGTTATGATGCGAAGATAAAAGCTTCAGAAGCCAGCAAGACATGCCCACAATCTTCTCTTCTTTGGTCAAAACAAAAGCAGGTGAAAAATAGAAGCGCCTCAGTCTCTGGAACACCTGCCACTTTCAAGCTGACAGATTCCATGATTTTGTGCATTACTTTATCACTTTCTCTAGACAAACATCAAACATCGTCTACTCTTAGGCAAAACCGACAGATTACTATCATTAAGAAACTAGACTACCAACAGTAATTGCATTACAAACATGACACGGACAGTCATGCTTATGTTGTGTCTTTCACCAGCACTATCAGATTTATCAACTCTTTACTTTCAGATACACATCAGTTCCAATTTGCCTAGCAGATCATGTATTTGGAACTCGTTATGGAGGTCATTATTACAATGATCTCAATGCAAAAGGCAACTTTTTCTTCTTCCTTCACCTGCTGTTTGACTTCATCAGAATGTCCAGATCTTCACAGTTTACTGGATTTTGAGGGAGGCAAGTCCAGTTGAAATAAAATGCAAAAGAAAGGCTGAAAAAAATGGATTCAAAAGAGCAGGACTCCTTAAAAGCGGATGTCAAATGAATTAACCCAGAAGACCACAAACAGGCGGACAATTACCTAAATGACCACGAAACTAATCACCACACAAAGACTACCTAATAAGAAAGGCAAGTCAAAAGAAGTGATGGGAGAAAAAGGGGGTTCCAACATTCAACCTACAGGAAGACGAGGATTAAAGCAGCATGGCCAAAGATGCTGACCCTTTTATAACCCTGGGGTTTAAAAGGTCAGAGCCACAAGGTAGCATACACACTGCCTTAATATTTACTACAGTCTGGAGGGTTCCAGTTGCAACACCAAGTGTACACATTTATCCTCAAAAGCAGGGGCACTTTCACAGAAAAAAAAAAAAATGCAAAACCACATCTGGCACCTATGAAACTGGAAATCTGGGGGAGCAAAGAGGAAGCAGCAGCACTCAGATTACACCAGCATGATTTCAAAGTCTAACTATTTCTATGGTGCTAACATAATGCATTTTATCCATCCATTCCAAATAATAACCTGGAAGCATTAACCTGGTGCTCTAACCTGTACTTGTACATTTATAACCAAGAAATACTGACTTTCAGCCCAAAGTAGACAGTTTTAGCAGCTATTCTGAAGTAGTGACCAGACAGTGGGAGCAAAGTGAACCCATCTGTCTGCCACTCAGAACACAGTAGGAGTAAGAGATTAGAATCATGGAACGGTTTGAGTTGGAAGGGACCTTAAAGATCATCTAGTCCAACCCCCCTATCATGGGCTGAGACACCTTTCACTAGATCAGATTGTCAAAGTGCCGTCCAGCCTGACCTTGAACACTTCCAGGGATGGGGACATCCACAACTTCTCTGGGCAACCTGCTCCAGTGTCTCACCACTCTCATAGTAAAAAAATTCTTCCTTCTATTTAATCTAGATCTACCCTCTCTTAGTCTAAAACTGTTACCCCTTGTCCTATCACTACAGGCCCTGGCAAAAAGTCTTTCTCCATTTTTCTTATAAGCCCACTTTATATATTGAAAAGCCACAATAAGGTCTCCCCACAGCCTTCTGTTCTCCAGGCTGAACAACGCCAGTTCTCTCAGTCTCTCTTCATAGGAGAGGCATTCCATCCCTCTGATCATTTTTGTGGCCTTCCTCTGGACCCACTCCAACAGGTCCATGTCTTTCTTGCACTGGGGACCCCAGAACTGGACGCAGTACTCCAGATTGGGTCTCATGAGAGCAGAGTAGAGGGGGAGCATCACCTCCCTTCACCTGCTGGCCACGCTTCTTTTGATGCAGCCCAGGATACAGTTGGCTTTCTGGGCTGCAAGTGCACATTGCCAGCTCATATCCAATTTTTTGTCCACCAGCATCCCCAAGTCCTTCTCTGCAGGGCTGCTCTCAACCCATTCATCCCTGTCTATATTGATACTGGGGATTGCCCTGACCCAGGTGCAGGACCTTGCACTTGGCCTTGCTGACCTTCATGAGGTTCACACTGGCCCACTCCTCAAGCCTATCAAGGTCTCTCTGGATGGCATCCCTTCCCTCTAGCGAATCAACTACACCACTCAGCTTGGTGTTGTCCGCAAACTTGCTGAGGGTGCACACAATCCCACTGTCTACATCATTAACAAAGATCTGGAAACAGTGAGGAGTGTCAAAACCATTCACTGATGAAGAACCTCTTGACTTTCTAGGACTGAACAGAGCATGCTCTATCAAAGAGTCTATCACTCGAAAAAGATACAGTTACCTGACCAATTGGTTGTAGATATACAGCTGGAATTTGGGGTGGAGGTTGGGAAAACAGACACTGAGAGAGGCCCAGTGGTGAGACGTAAAGACAGAGAAGAAGTAGTGAACAGGAGAGCAGTGTCTACAAAATAAGGAGGAAGAGTTTAAAACTAAGATAGCAAAAAAGGCAGAAAGAACGAGAAAAGGATAGCATCTAGCAAAGACCTTTAAAATTAATTGCATTTAACATTGTATAGTTATTACCCAACATCTGAAGTAGAAAAACTATACACTGTTATGCAGAAGGTAATAGCACACATACACTTATAACACTTCATTTTCTGTTAATTAAAGGCAAGCTACTTTCACACTGCTATATTTTTCTTTAAATTTTGAAGGAGTTTATTACTTTGATGCAGACTTCCACATGCACTGGTTAACATATCTCAACCTGATCTTTTTGCAAGTCCTACTATTCTAACCATCGATAGAGTATACTATTAGTATTAAATAGCATGCTGGTTTTGCGATATGAACAACTTTGCTAGTCTGAAACTTTAAATACATTTTCATTCACCTGGTGAAACCTCAGTAAAATTACTTCTCCAAAGGTAAGCACCAGTGAAAGGGCAAAAAAAAAAAAAAAAATAAAATTAAATAATCTATTTTTAAAACATGAGCAATTCCAGGAAAAGTCTGAGATATACCTGTAATTTGCAACAAGCAACAAAGTGCAGACTTGGTGTCAGAATACTCACGTATTTCATTTGAAGTTTGAAGTACTATATTGTTTTAAAAAAAAAAACCTACATAAACTTACAGCTGTGCTTAAAACGGTATTTCCTAATGAATTACCATTTTAAGCTAATTCCTAATGAATTATCATGTTTATAGAAAAATACCATGCTCCATGAGCTCTATCAACTGAAATGCAAGGTAAGAAGCATATTAAGGAAATGCAAAAGAAAATGAGCGTTTAATCAGTTCTTCTATTGCACAGATTATCATTAAAGTTGCATATGCAAGGAAAGCAAGGGGAAAGTGGTTAATTCTCTTTGACAGAGCATGCTCCTGTTCACATGCAGGCTACACAGATTGATCAATTAAAATTAAAGCAGAACTATTCTTTCATTCCCCTTTTAGCTGAAGAGAAATATTAAAGCTGCCTCATAAGTAAAAAAGCCAAAGGATTTTCACTTTGCAATGGAGTATAGCAAATCCAGCATAGCAGGGTTTCCCAATTCCTTCCTCTAGTTCCTTTGTATTTGTCATTCAGCTTCTTTCGTTTTGCAGTGTCTCGCAATCTGATTAATTCCCTTCAAACAGCAGCTTCCTATCATTACACCCCGAACCAAACACCTTACTCTATTACATTAATATTATTCTTATGCATTTACAAATAAGGATATTAAAAAAAAGATACCAAGTTGGCACTGTTTTTCAATCAATAAGCACTGCTATCACTATCAAAATACCTGCAAAAGGTGTGCAAAAGCAATAGAATTAGGAAGATCAAGTTCTAGAGAATCTTTTATGTTTATACAAAATACTACTTCCTTTGAACATATATAGCAACCCAAGATAAAACCATAAAACCAGAAATACACGACCACATAAGTTACATCACACGCAATTTCCACTTGTTCCTCCTAAAAGCAATTGTTTCAGCTCAAATCCCACTATCCACCTTTTGAAAAGTATTTTCCAGGTAAGTAATATTTTGGACTGACAAAGTATCTTTAAGGATAGAACATACTTTGTATCTACTACTATCCTTTGTAATAGTAAGAATAATTATTTATTAATACATAATTCTTTCTGTAATCATTAAGTGTTGCTTAGAAATGAAGGCACTTTGAAATAATAAGATTTCAAAAACAATATTGACAAAAATACTACTTGGTAAAAAAAGCATACAAAATCTTGAAGATAAAAGTGTATTTGTCATCTCTTATAGTATTAATACAATCTCAAAATTCATAAGATGTAACTTAGTTTTGTAACACTATATCACCATTTGAAATTTTGTATGCTGAATCTCGGGTGGAAAAAATAAGATAAAGACTCTATTTTAAAAAAAAAATAGGACCAGAAGAAAAATTCTGTTTTCTTGAAACCCTAGAAGTCAACATGGCCTACAGAGCACATCCTTTTCAAGTCCCCATCTTAAGCCATTTACCAACCTCAAAACATACTTCGAGAAAGAGTTTGCTGCAGTAACGATGGGGTGGTTTTCACATGACTTGGAATGCAAGAGTTTAGTTTTGGTAATATGACACTTCAGAAACTTGAAATCATTTGTGATTTTGGCTGTTCAGTTTACCAGGTCCTACCAGAAGAGTATGAATAAAATAGCCATCAGTTCAGGCTAGAACATGAAGACCATGTAACTAGAACATGTTTTTGGTTTTTGCCTACTTACACCAAATCCTCACTTACTACCACTGTTTTTTATCTTCATCATACACAAATACATGCAAGTGTGGCAAATACTCAAATGATTACAAGCAAATAAGGTGCTAAGGAGTCACAGAGACCTTGCCTTTACAAATGGCAGTGCTTGCTTTCTGGTATTTTATCCAGCTGTGTTAGGAGCCTCAAGAGAGAAAACATGACAAAAGCCACGCATATGGACTAAAATATAGTGACCTACCTTGGTTATAAGTTCAAAAAAAATTTTTTGTGTGTACGTTTAAGCAAAGACTATTCCTTGCAGTAACTGGCAGAGGCCAGAATTTTAATGGGTTAGTCTCAAATAAGAATTTAAGGCTTCATCTAATGAGCACATGCTGGGAAAGCATTTGGGATGTTTAGTGCAGACAAAGTAATTCCTACACGGAAAAGATGCAGAAACAATTTTTGATTCAAAACAATTTAACAGGTGAAATCAACAGATTCAGTTTTCAGACCCAGGAACTGCACATATACTTCATTATCTCCTCTGAAGACTAACAACCGTTTTCAACATTTTTCCAACCTGTTGCCCACATAGGAGGAAAAGAAAGGTCTTACTAACTGCCTGTCTTCTTAGTCACACACATACCACCTCCATTAATTACGAAAATACTTACAGAATTCATCCCTAGCTGATTTTAATGCAATCAGAATTGAAATTCAGCAGCTGGTAATAAGGTAGAAATCATGTGCCCGACAAGCTCAACAACTTTCTGAGAGCCAGATCTCAAACTCAGTTACTAGTTTTTTGCATAAGACTATTACTATTTATAACTTATGCTTCAATTCAAGATGAAAATTGGTACTGTAATTTCAGAGTCTCACTTCCTATATTTTTTCCCTTTAAAATAAAAGGGGAGATACAAAGTACAGGCATGACTTTGACCAATTGACTTCAGGTCTCTCATTGCAAGAGGAACCCTGACAAGATGTACCATCAATTGTATACACAAACATCAAAATCTTGTAAATTGATGTGCTTTTACTGACTATCAAGTACAAAGAACATTAAAACCAATCTTCTACAATAAAACCTTGACCACATGGACTGCCAACTAACAATGTTTGAATCTCAGTATTCATGCAAGAATTGTAGCCTTTAAAATATTATATTCAAAGATTAATACAGTTCTATTAATGCTTCCAATCAGCTATTTTTCAGACAATTCAGATCAAAGCGTATGTGATATCAATACCTCTGTAATTTTTCTGATGGCCATTTTTAGTGCAGATAGTGGCCAAACCAACTTGTTCTATTAAAATAGTAAACTTTTGGGTAAGAAAAAAATTAGTTACTTTTCATCCATTCTGCTGCGCATTTTTTTAAGTTTCTGCATAATGCTACTAGTCTCACTGCTGGAGATTGAGATTGGGGAAGGGCTGCGTGTTTCTGCATCAGTTGGAAGTGGGCTAGAACCATTGCTCTGCTTGATGTCATCCTCACTGTGAAGTTCCTGCAATTAAGTGTTAAAAAAAAAATCAACATTGAAAGTAGGAGAAGTTATTCTATCATCTTCTTAAAAATTGTGTTAATTTAGTTTGTTTCTCTTGAGAGTACATCAAAGACTACTTCAGATAAGTCTGTCCACCTGCAGATTTAACTTCATTTTCCAACTTCATTTTTATTTGACACAAAGTTTTTAGTACACCCTTTTTCTCCATAATTTAAGTTATCCCCTAACTGTATCTAGAATAAACCCACCATAATTCAGTTACCCAAACAGGAAACCAATCCTTTCTATACTACTATTATTAAACTTGCATCTCCTCAAAATTTTGTAAGGAGGCAGACAGTTATCAAAGTCCTGTTTTGCTATCTCATAAAGCAGATGAAAGAAACTTAGTGTAATGACACTAACACACACACAAAGCAGCAAGTTTTGGGTTTAGCACTTACATTTAGTTCTTTGGGGTATACAAACAATCAAACAAAATCAGAGCCTGAGAGATCTAAGCATCAAAAAACTGATATTCCCAAAGTCATTAGTTAAGCTTGAGAATTAACAATCACCATCTACTGCCCAGTTAAAATATTTTATAACTTCTCCAAATGCATTTCCTTAAATAATGCTTTAAAGACATTAAACATAAAATTGCTGAGATAAAGAGGATGAGACTGTTTGAGGCAAACAAAACTTCCAAGTGATAGGTCCAATTTAGTAGCTTTTCATGCCTATAAACACTGAAGTCAAATACCATCTGCACGGCCAAAGAGGGAAGACTCCAGCTTCTGTACTGAACACTTACCAGCTTGTTTTCTCCTGCAGACTTCAGTTTTTCCTGCAGTTTCATTGTAGTCTGACGGATTCGTTCTATTTCTGCCTGCTGTTTAAGGATCAGTTGTCTCTCCTTCCGAGCAGCCTTGTTAGCCTCTTGAAGACGCTTAATTTCTGCCTTTTAGGTATAAAGGATTAAGCGTAAGAACTGTGACAGACAGCTCTCAAGAAAACACTCTAAAGCTGCCACAGTGTCCACGCTATGGGTTTAAAATGACTGAAATTACATGATAAAGTAACTAGCCTGAACTTCAGCAGCAAAGAACAGAAGATCAATTAATATATCTAAGTCTCAACCAGTGAGATTACTGATACAGAAGGACCCTTTTAAACAATGTGTTAAATACTACCGAAATGCAAATAAAACTTATTGGTAAGAAATACTGGTAGCTGCCTATCCAAAAGCCTAGTATGGAGTTTTCTCAATTCTTAGCTTTTACAGTGTCTGAAACATTTAATGGTTACACAGGGGTTTCAACAGGATTTTCCTGGAGAGCATCAGTTACCTTTTCCTGCTGTAATCTCAGCAGCAGACCACGCTGCCTCTTTCGAATAGGAGGCATTTTATCATCCTCCCCCTTGTCTCGCAAATGCCTGCAAACAGATTGGAAGAAATGATTAAGTAAGAAAAAAGTGAACAACAACGAGCCTTTTACTCTTTAAAGTAAAAAAAAAAAGTTTACTTTTCCTAACCTGCAGAAGAGTATATGCCTATACTTAAACATTGGCATTCTCTATAGTGGAATATTTTGTACTGTTTAGTCAAAGACAGGCACAGTTAAAAGGCCAGTGCAGTAATACGAGATCTCATATGAACGTGCAGAAGTTCTGCAGAGGTAGCATGCTCACCATTTGAGAAAGACAAAAGAAAGGACACGTGGGTCACTACCTCACAATCCTTTATCAAACCCACAATGATAAGCAGTTGAAAGAAAACATCTAGTGAACAATGGTACTCTCATGCAGAGAGTGACCATGGAAAAGTATTATTGATTAAATCTGGCCACCGCTGTTTAGTAGTATCACTAGGTACTTCAAGTGGCATTCCAGGACAAAGCATATGTTAGGCTGGAAACAAATAATTAAGGACAACACGTACCCAGATTCACAAAATTTGGCCTGAGTCAACTAAAATGACCTCAGACAGACATCAAGCAAATAACATTCTAACTGTTTGACAGTTCTATACATTCTTGAATTAAGAGTTGTAGAGTAATGGTTGCGAACTACCTTCTCTGACTGACAACAAACATCTGATGTTCTACTGTTTCAATGAAATTCTCTTTTATCAAACTGCATTCAATGTAAACATCAAAGCACACTTACAAACTGGGTTCTGTTCTTTCCAAGTGACAATAACATTTGTATAGATTACTGATGTCAGAAGACTAGTTCAACCATTGATACTTAATAAGAGAGGGCTGGGGTGGAAGCAAAATCTTACAAAAAAAAAATCAAGTAGAAGTACAAGAAAATGGTCGGTCAGCAACAGTGTATATTCAGAGCTGCCTTACTTCTTCTGGTGTTCCAGCCAAGCTAATTCAGCCTTGGTCTTCTCTTTCAGAGCCTTCTCCCGGAGCCGAAGCAGTGAGGACTGATGAGCTGCTCGCATTTCCTCCTCTTTCATGTACTGTCTTACCATCTCCATGGTAAATTTAGAGAAACTATCTTGCCCCCCTGAGAATGGCATGCTTAGCTCCTAGAAGGCAAGACAAATTTGGCATGATTTGATAATACAGAAATTCCAAGGCTTTTTTAAATTACAAAGTGTGTGTGCATATACAAAGATATACACACACACAAAAACAGATGTAAGAAGGGAAGCTGTTTTTTCTCTGAGCTCTGTGCAGACCAGCTTTTTCTGCCCTGGGCTGCGTGACAGTTTTGGGACTTCCCCTCTTGGGCCAGAGAGACGAAGCATCCTCTTGTACTTCCTAGCTGTGTGTAGGCATAGTAGGAATACTTAATCCACTGGGCTTTTATAACCTACCTCAAAAAGTCACTCCTCTTCTCCAAAGCCACAAGAGAACAGGTATAGGCCTGGACGGACTGTTCCGTAAGTCAAGTCATCGCACTTGTACAACAGTGACATACCGCATGATTCACACAATTCTATGTTTTCAGATGCTCAAAGAACCACAGGGAGAAAAAGAACCCTACAGTTTGCAAACACAACTAAGAACGGCTCACTTGAAGCTCATCAGCTTAACCATTTCAGTTCAGTTAATTTACCTTAACTATGGTTGCTTGACCTACCTTGATAGATGACAGAGCTGTTTTTTCTGGGGAGACTTCCTCATCAGAATCATCACGATTACCCCGCTTCTTCTCCAAGTTATTTCTGCGATGACTCTCAGAGGGCAGCAAAGACCGAAAAGACTTTTCCTCAATCTCATCCTCTGTCATGGACTCATCAAATTTCAGGGAATACTCTGTTGCAACAGAAGCAGAATCTGGGGAGAAATCAGGGAAGTGGTTTTACGCTCAGGTGTGTACCGTGAATGCAGTTTTACTCTGTTTCACCTCAGTAAAGTTAGGGGGGCAGTAAAGACAAGGAGATAATTACTCTAATGCAGAAAAATGAGTGTTTAGAAAGGGGTGTCCTTGAGTTAGAGGACATCATGAAATACTTTATCTAGCTTCAAAAGACCTAACAGACTTCTGTACACAGGTATAAACACATTTCTGGGGCTGCTGAAACATTTGGCATTCAGCCTGCATATTCAGCAAGTGAACATCTGGCTACAGATAGCACAGCAGAAAGTGGAATGGCCCACAGACTCCATCACTCTGACGTGCAGAATTTCAAAGGTTCCCATCTCCCTGTGCCATCCTCTGTTACCTCTTAAGACGCTACCAATACACCTGGGGCTCAGCTTTCTTCACACATATTCCCTCATTTATTTCAGAAACTAATTCTGAAACAGCACCTCCCTCCCCCTTTACCACCTTCAGATTCATCACATACAAACAATACAGCTAACCTTTTTCGTCTGGCAGCGATAAGATACTATCACTCGGCAAGGAATCATCCATACCCGTATGAGCCTGCTCTTCAATACTGCTAGTTATCTTTTCACGACGGGAAAGCTTTTTCTCATTCTCCTTAGAAGATGGAACTGAAGGACTCTCTTGGCGGCTGCTGGTACTACTGTGTTATCAAGAGATAATTTTTCTTAAATATTACTTGGCACATTTCAAAATATTTATATTACATTACTACTGTACATACCATGATTAACACCCCAGCTGTAATCGACATGCAGAGGTTTGGTTTTATTTTTAAAATGCAGCTTGGCTACTTCAAAATTCCAAGCCTCATCAAGCTGCTGATTGACAGCAGAACTTGTTATTTTTATTCTACCTTAGAACGCAAGTGGTTTGTAGGTATGCACACCCTTTACCTGGCAATGAGTATTGATGATAAACCATTGCAAACATCTCTCCTTACAGTTTTTAAAAGGATGCGTGAGATAGCGATACTGTTTTAAATTAGCACTACAGAGGACAAAATCATTCCAGTTGGTCAAAATCAGAGAAGGGCTGTGAGAAACTGCATGGGACCTCACTAGATCAGGTAAGTCAACAGGAAACAAAACGCTAAAATCCAGTATTAAACACAGGCAAGATACTGAAAAGTAACACCAGAAATGAGTCAAATCTAAACCTCAGGCAAGCAGCACTCCAGGCACATCATGTAAAATCTCAAGCCAGGGCAAAGCAGAAGTGAAAAAAAAAAAAAACAACCCCCCAAACCCTAACAAAATGGCCAGATACACAGAGAACAGAATAGAAAGTAATACACATTACAGAGCAGGCAGTTCCACAGGTTCCTGCACTGCATTTTCAGAACATAGGCTCCAGTCTATGTTCTAGTCCATTTCAAAAAGACACAGAGCAAAATCAGCAGGGCACAAAATGTAAATATTTAGGACAGGGAAAAAGACTCAGATAAACAGAGACTCAAAGCAACTTTTAGGTTACAAAGGTGATGCAATAGAAGTATGCAAGTAGGCCACAGCACAGAAATCAGAATAATCTCAGCTCAACAACTTCTGAAGGTATTTCACCTAACCAAAGTCAAGGCCATGTCCAAGTTCTGAACACCTGCAAGGACAGAGGATCCCACAACCTCTCTACACCCCCAATTCCAGTGTTTGACCACTCTCACAGGGAGCATTTTTTTTTACCCAATGATTTTTCCCTTTCTGGAATGTCACTGTGCACCTCCAAGAAGAGTCTAGCCTCATGTTCCCTAACAACCCACCTTTAGGATACTGCAACTAGATCCCTGTCCCCTTAAGCCTTCTCTTTTCTAGGTTAATTTAGCTCAGTTCCTTCAGCCTCTCTTTTACATCATGTACTCCAGCCTTCTAACCACCTTGGTGGTTCACCACTAGACTTGCGTCAGTGTGTTAACGTCTTCTGTCCAGGAGCCCAAAACTGGATACTTTATTCCAGATACAGTCTCACAAGAACTGAACAAAGGGGAATAACCATTTCCCTTCACCTGTTGCTAGACTCTTGCTAATTCAGCTGAACGAGGAAGCAGATGTGGAACTCAATTATTCTTAAGTTACGAAAGAGTAAAGTGTCCAATTAGAACAAATACAGCAAATTCAAAACTGAAGATATTAACACACAACATACTATTACACTGTGGTAGTTATTACACTATTCCACAGTGTAGTAGGATTTTTAATTAAAGACAAAGCAAATTCTGGTAGGCATGCAAACCTTCAAGTTCTGGAATATAAGACAGGTTTACCTGTTGAAGGTTTAATATTGACTTTCCCTCTTTTTTAAAAAAACATTGAAGGAAATATCTTGATATTCCTTTGTACTTTAGTTCTTATTTATAGCAAAAAACCCCTGTGTAATCTAAACTCTTCTTACCTCTGATCATGAACCTTTGACCTTGAGGACTCTGAATAACTATCAAACATCAGTGAGTATGTCGGTTTTGAGTCACCTGTCTCCTCTTTACCTTGTGATATGGCACCAGACTCACATATCCTGAGAAAGAGAAGTGTTTTGGGTAAGTCTGCATTGTCTTAAATCAAAGAGTAATACAGTTTTCACAAGCTTTCATCAGTTTACTAGAAGTAGTAACAGCTAAAATTTCTGAAAAGATCACTTAAAGCTTAGACTAGTTAAATCATCCCACAAAACATTTAGACCATCTTTTTCTACTCTTTTATATATAGCTTCACAGAACCAGTTAATGTCATCTTTGGCGTATACTATTTAGGGCATAAAGATGGAATCTAAATTGTTCTTAAATGCTCACTCATTATGACATCTTAAAATTTTCTTCAAGGATAGGTCAAGTAAAACCTAACAAATCTTACTTCCCCCTTCCCAAGATGTGAAACATTAGGCAAAACCTGTTTGTATCAGTTCGGGCTCTCAGTTGTTTCATAAACTCTGAATGATGCTGCCGCTGGTGGTCAAACAAGGTGGTGACTGGAGCAGCTGGAGCGCTCACAGGATCTGAGATCTGGGTTCGTGCTAACTCTGACATCTGAGTACAATAAAAAACAAAGGAATACAATGAGCTTATCAGCATCAAAATGTTTTTGAAAGAGAAAATAGTCATTCTCGCAGGCAATTTACTGATTTATTGAACAAACGCATAAGACGGTTTTAAGATGGTTTGTAATTACATACGTGTCAATTTTGGTTGTAGGAGGTGCATATTGCTCTGTAAATACATTTTATTATTATTTATTCTTTAATTTATACAGAGTGGAATTATTGATACGTAACTACAGACATGCAAGATACTACCCATCATTCTAATCAACTTAACCAAACTGTGATCAGTAGAATGATCCCCACATAATAAAACATTCCAGACTTACCATTAGAATTCATTAAAAAAACCAAAAAACACCCCCCAAAAAAATCCCACCCAAAACAACCCACAAACACCAGAAACAGTGTTTTCTTTTTCATTTGGAAGTGCATCTTGCTCAAAGAGCAAGAAATATTCTTTCCACTCCAAAGGAAGCTTTAAGTTCCAATATCATGCAAACTGCCAGGTCTAAAATTGGCAGCATTAAATCAACAGATAGCCATAAATTATCCTTTTTAATGTATGGCAGTCACTGTGTACCTGACTAGAAATAAGAACTTCTTCAGAAATCAAAGCAGATAACACTGGTTTTTAGAAGCTTTAGAATTTAGTATTTTTCTTCTTGTTCAAAGGTCTGCCTCTTGCAGAGCAGGGAATTCCGGTTGGTTTTGAAGGTAGGAATAAGCTGTATTTCAATAACTTCCAATACACATACTGAGTTTCTTCATTAATTCTTCAATTAATGTATACAAATTTTATAGAAACAAGTGAATGTTTTTTTTTTAATTGGATTGTCTGTATACATCACCCACTGTTTTATCCTTCATTAGTACAACAGTCAACTCTAAGCAAACAAACTTGTATAATAGCATGCTATATTATCTCTTTTGCTTAAGATAAACTTCTAATTGAAAGCAATGCAGAAAATTAACTCCATTCCTTTATACGTAAGAAATTACAGTGTACATCCAAAAACATTCCCAGCACATTGGTGACTGGCATTTCCATTGCTGCATTCCAGTTAAAACAAATGGCTGTTCAACTGAATATCAGGAGTCACTTGTGAACGTGGATGGAAAAGCTACTCTGCTAGCCCGTCACCACTGAGCAGGTCATCCCCATCAACCTCTCCACTAGCACCTCTTACTCTCAGACTTCAAACTTAAAGCAAGACAAGAGATTAAAACCCTACACGCAGTAAAAGCTGTCTCTGTTTCTTCTACCTTGTTTCTTAACTGGTTTCTACCCACTTCGGCTCTATAAACTACAAATGTTTCTTTGTCTTTATCAAAGACTTCACTTCCTACTATCAACAACCACCGCATGTATCTCAGATGCCTGAGCTTTTCTGCTCCTTTAACCTAACCCATTCTTGTCTATTAAAAATTATTTAAAACTTCATATATTTGGCAATGCCCAGAACAAGTACATCAGTATTATTCTACAGTCTCATCACCCATCATAAAAACAGCCTTGCTGAACACCAATATGTACATAAGCTGTGAAGAAACAGTTATGTTCATACTTATCAGCCTTCTGCACTCCATCCCATAACCCTAATCCACAGTCACTGCGATTGCTAAACTACGAAGAAACAGAAGCATTTTTTGGTTACCGTGTTTCTTACCTGTGTGTGAAACAGCTGCTACATGTTGGGAACAAGAAGTATAAAAAATGATAAACTGATAAAAATTCTGTATGCCACAAGAAGAATGAAAAGAGACTCAAAAAGAAAACTTCAACCTCTGTACTAAGTTAAAAGCTCTGCTGAAGTTCCTCCCCCCTCCTTTTTTTTTTTTAAATTATTTATTTTATTTGTTGGTCTCCTACCTTTCAAAAGTAAGCAAAATTGCAATTTCCCTGCTTTTCTAATTTAATTTGCATATGAAACAGATACAGGATCAATCCCTGATGGAGTGTAACTCTAACAAATTAAAGATGATGTGTTCACTGTCATCAATCTATCCTGGAAGAACAAAAACTTCTTAACAGTTTGTACGCTGGAAGATCATAAGAATAGTGAACAGGGATTTAAGGCTGCCAACTGACTTCTAAGTAGTAATGCCACAAAAGCTCCTTTAAAGTCCCATTGTTTGTCATGTTACGAAGGTGAAGAAGTTGCGCTGAGAATGACACTGAACAGAGAATAACCTAGAGGCAAAAACCCATTCAAAATAATACTGAAATCAGAATAGCTTTTTCCTTTCGCTCAGGACCTCACCTCACGGATCTGGTGAGCTGCATCTGTAGTGAGAAGTGCAGTTTCTGCCTGCTTGGCTGCAGCCTTGCATGGGGTCTCTTGTACAGCCTCCTGCCGTGACTGGACCAGATGCTGCAGTGACTCTGCATGGACCTATGCAGAAAACACAGCCAGTTCAGCTCTTCAAAATTTTCTGGCTATAATAAGTACAGTTTTATTTCTCAAAATGTGGGGGAAAAAAGTTTGAAATTGACCCCAAGAGCTTTTTTCAGCTATATGAAACCCCTTCACCATTTCCATATGTTCACAGCTTCAAATTAAGAATACTCATAGGCACAGATTTACTTACAGCATTTTGCCTCTTACACACTCCACATTTTTTGAAGGGCAGCATTACCTGAGCTGCCTTCTGCCTTGCCTCATCCAGTTGTCTCTGACTTTCTAAAGCTTCTTGTTCAGCCCTGATTTTCAAAAGCGCTAAGTCCCGTTCATGGCGCTGCTGCTGTGCCTACAGATTAGGAAAACAAGTTTTAATCACGCAAGTTAAATGTAAAGACCTTTTTTGCCTTAGCCACTGGCTGCAACTACCTCTGAAGGATCTAGATCTACTCTACTGGTGGTGTCTCTTCTGCTAAAGTAAAATTTTCAGCCTATTGACTGACCCTCTCCCTTTTTAAGTAGACAGTAGACAATGCGCATTCCCCGTACTCTTCCACTACAGTGTAGAAAAAAAGAGGATTTAGGAGACCAATTAATTCAACAAACTAGAACAAGCAATCTTGTCAACATAAGGAAATTTCAACCAAAAATATCCTTTTCATGGAATAAGGCAAATGATCCAGCCTGAACAACTACACTGAATGGCATTGGGACCCAACATCAAAACCAGTAAATAATAATGTTTTTATTTTACTGAAGTACACAACCAAAGCAGTGATTCCAGCTAATGGTATGTTAAATGACACATATTCTAGAGTCACCAGTTCCTTGGTGTCAACTTAAAATAAGAAAGATAACAGACATTAATCCTAAAAGATTGACATTAATCAGAGATGCTCCATCATGCCCATTACGATTTCTCTGCATTGCTAACAAAAGCATAACTCGCCCTAATTTGATTAATTTTCTTGCAAAATAAAAAAAGGAAGGTTAAGACAAGGAAGCATTTTGCCATTACCTTTAGAATCTGAGCCAAAGAAACGCTCTCCTGCTGGGCAAGTGATATGCCTCGTACTCGTTCTACATCTGAAAGCTGTCGCACAGACTCCTCAATAGCACTAAGGTAGTTCAACTCTGCTGATAAACGATGCTGAAGACCAGCAGGGGAGAATCGCATACATCCTGCAGGATAAGACTTACTAGTGAACCTCCATAGACTTCAGTGCCCCACATCAAAAAATAAAGAAAAAAAAAAAACTGTTGGGGATTAGTATGGTTTTAACAAAACAACTCACCGCTCGCTGAGGCTGCTCCTGCTACAGACCTACTAGTTCCCAGACTCAAGTCAGGGAAGGCTACATTAGGCTTCAGCCCTGACGCTGTACTTCCAGAAAAGCCAGCAGGTGACTTGACTCTTTCTGCTGTATTGCCTATAGAATCAAACTGTGACATTTTTTGGGAACCAGGAGATGGGGAAGAAGTCGATGTCTTCTGGGATCTTCCCTTGTCTGAGAAACTGACAGTAAAACAAAAAAAGAAAGGAGTCAATATTCTCCTAAGTTCAGCCATTTGATAAAACAATAAAGCAATAACCTAGTTCTTCCACTTATATATACCAAACAGATCCACACAAAAGGCACAGTCTTTTATGGTTTGCACAGGCCCAGTCTGCCTTTAGGAGATGGCCTCCTGAGATGGGTTTTGTACCTATATCCCAGTTTAGGGTCAAGTTTCTAGAGCACCCCCTTTTTCCCCCAAGTATTAAACCTAGCTAGCATACACAAAAAAACCCCCAAAAAACCAAAAAACCCATAGTATCTACATGTTCTACATGGCCACACAAGGAGTTTCAATGCCACCTGTTACGAACCTGGCATGAGAAAGTCAGGATGCACTCACCTGCATGTGCATTTACACATCTGTTTTGAGAGTCTGAGTGAAGAACTTTGTTTTACTCACAGGAAATTAGGGCAATATTTTGGTATCAGAATACGATGAACAGTATTTCAAAAAGTAAACAGGTTACTATCAGCATATGGATGCAACTGAACGTGATAAGCCACTGCCCTGAGTCTCGATCTCTTTCATCAAAATGCAATTAAATGCTTGAAGGCCAAAACTTGACTTAAACAGTTAGTAACATTTCTTAAGAGAAAGTTAAAGACATCTCTTCCCAAACATACAGAAAATTATGCAGACACTTCTTAAATTTACTATTCCAATTTTATTAAGCCAAAAAGGATTAACAGTGGCTGCTTAAATCCCTTAGGAAGATGTTCTGCTTCACTTAGCACATCTTAGGAGGTCACAGGACCTTTCAAACCCAATACTGGATATCAGTGAATGTCACCAATATAAGTCAGTACCTCAGAACCATTCTATACCAACACAGAATGAGTGAAAGACCATTCATATTATTTGTTGCTTTTTAGAAAAAAAGTACAGTGAAAACTAAGCTCAGTGTATTTTGTAACCATCTTCATTGCACAGTTAGCAGAAAATAAACTGCATTCATAGGTAGACACACAGAGGATGCAACAGGAAAAATAATTTTTCTCTTCTTCTATACTCTTTTCTGAGGTGCAGTTCATCTCTCAAAAAGCATCATCTCACAGAGCTGGATAGGCTTATGAGTATTAGCTGTATACAAGTCTAGCCAAAAATGTCTGTGGATCCTACTGAAAAGAGCAAGATGACTGCATAGGTTGACTAGCTTTTTTTTTTTTCCTTCCACTTCTTACAGACCATTTGTAGAAACAGAAAACAAAAATCGTGTTTCAATGCGTAAGGTACTGAACCTGACAGGATACCTATATTGGCCAGTTATCCTTAAAAAAAACAGAGGGGTCATTTGGGGAGGAATCACTGTTTTGTATTTTCTCTTCCTACAGACATCTACTTTAGGCTTTCATATTTAAAATACAGGGAAAAAATGTTTTCTGCATGCCCATCTTACTAACATTTGATCATTTCTGTGACTTTCTTTTTGCATATCCAAAGACACAGCCATTTTTTATAACATGCCATAACACTACCAAGCTTAGTTATATTTGTTATATTTGTAACATATGTTCCATGTTACCTCATCAGGGAGTGTCCAGACAAGTTCTCCAGTGTGCTGTCTGTATCTGGGTTCTGCTCATGATCTTTATTAGAAACTCTGCTACTCGATAAGGACTTCTTTGCCTGTTGGGATCCCCACTCTAACTCAGATAACATTTTATCTTCTTCCACGGGAAAGTGGTGAGAACTTCCATTGAAAGAGTCCAACCCTAAGAAGCAACAACATTGCCAAAATTTTATGTTTGGTATAAATATCTTAGCCATCAGGAGCCCCAAAACAAATAATTGAGAACTTTTTTCCCCAATTAAAGATGCCTTTGAGTTAGAAGTCTATAAATCCAACGAGCAAGAAATGTAAATTTGGCAGCTTCCTACAGGAAATTAAGCTCTCTTCTGCATATTGTGTCCACTGTCAACAAAACTGTCACTCAGCTTTCATTTCAGCACACTATTGGTTTAAATAAAGAAAATACGCATTTGACTCTTCAATACTGATAATCAGAATAAAGCCTAGCTTTCTTTGGGTAAGCTAGAGAATTTTGAAAAAAATAGGGAGAGAGATAATTTGGAACACCCAATCTTATTGTTCTCACCTTTTATAGGCTTTAAACCTAGCTTTTTCTTATGTTATCCATTGCTTATATAGTAAGAGTGTACCACATCTCAAGTTTCTTCATGTTTTTGTAATGTACAAGTTACTCTAGGAAGAAGCGTATTTATTAATTTGTGCACTTAGGAAAACTGCCTGTGATCCAAAGATGAAGCACACAGGCAAACTTGTCACCTTCATAAATGTGGCCATAGCTCTGATTTCTCAGCAGCCTATTGGAGTTTCCTCAATACAGAATCTGAGGATAGTTGCCACACGATATTAAGATTAACTAATTTCTTAGAAGGCTGGTTTAGGTAAGGAAAAATTTTCAGTGCTGTTAACCTCTTGCTTATTTAATTTTAGATGACTGTATTTTAAGGTCAGAGAATAATCAGTCAAAAAGAATTTAAGAAGGAATCACTGGAGGAATAAATAAATCATCCTATCAGTATTAGATTACAGTTTCCAGATATGTAGAAAGACTGCAATTTTCATAACAAGAAAACCCTAAAACCTCATTTAAAAAAAAAATACTCTACGGTCAAGTACTGCACTTACGTTCCTTTTTCCCTCTCTTTTTAGAGGAAGCAGATGAGCGAGAAGATGCTGCAGACCGTGGTCCAGATGAATGCTGAGAAGCAAGTGCTACAGATCGAGGTTCATGGGGAGACTTCCTACTAGGAACTTCTTCCTGAATGCTTGAATTACTGCTGCCAGCAACACTAAAAAGGAGCACACTGACAGTGCTTAACTAAGGACTTCCAACTGCCCCATTACATTGTGCCCCATTACATTGTGCACAAGAAATCCACCACACTTTAAATTAGAGACAGATGGCTAAAACTGCACTAATTAGCCCATCTTGAAAAGCATTGATTTTGAGATTAAAAACTATGACAGCTAAAACATTAAGAAGTTTGACATGATATTGAACTTACTGAAACATACTTCCGATAATATGAAACAGTAAAAGGTGGATAACAACCATCCTTTCCAATGCTAACTCTTAAGAGATATTTGACTATAGACTTGAACAACATAACAATGACTCTGAATATGGCTGCATTTTAGATAATCTCTAGGCATACAGATAACATCAATAAATTGACAGAAATATGAGTGATTTTCAATACAAGATTACGAAAGATTTGCAGATAAGGGGGTAATGCACCATATACTAAATAATACCAACAGAAGACCTATCGAGAAGTTTAATTAGAAGGAAAGCATTTTTTGCAGCCAACATTTTCAGTGTGCAAAGTGCCTTTTACCTTCCTTTCTTTCTTCTTAGGTAAAGTACCACCCATATAAACACGGTACTTGTGGCCTTCCCCAAGGTGCCCAAAAGATGTAAACATATTTCATTACAAAAAAAGGGGTCTTAGGAAATTCAGGAAGCCACATGAATTCAGTAGTAACATAGAGAGTCTAGGATTTATTGTCCTCAAATTTTAGTCTGAACAAAAGGTTTTAAAAGTTCTTACAGACAATTTATTATCCATTACTAAGCATTACTGAACCCATACTGAAAGCAATTATAGGCTTTTTACAAAGTTTTGAAGTACTCAAGGTATTTTAACACTTTCAAATATCTTTTCTTTTTTCTAAATTACGAAGACTAACCAACAACTTATTTTCACCTGACTACAAAGGGTAAGAACCTAGCCTAAAGCTACCTGCCAGACTAAGGAAGAACAAAAATTATACAGATGAGGAATACTTGACTCGAATCTTTATGTCTTAACCATGCTGCTTGCTATATTAACTGCAAGGTTCTAAGGAAATACCTGATCACTTTCACTAGTATTACAATATAGTATAACAGAACAGATAACCACCATATTATGAAACAAATTTTGCATTAACTATGTTCTGTCAAATTCTGCATTTTGATTTTTACAAGAAACCTAACACACAGTTACCTGAGGTCACGTGCAATCTTTTTGTCTGTTAAAGTGCCACTTCCCTGCGATGAGGCAAAATCATCTTCGTAAGAAACCACGCTCTCTGGAGGGCTCATGGCAGGGAGTAAAGGGCGCAGAAGGGCAGATCCTCCATTCGACCTTTCATCAAACGCTAAAGTGTAGACAAAGAAAGGAAAAGACAAAAATGATACTAAATGCAATGTGCAAACAGGTAATAAAACTGCAGAAATTAAAATGTTCCGAACCACGAGTTACAGAGACTTCCTTTCAAATACAAAAACATCAGGAGAACAACAGTATAGCCATCCCATGGCAGTTTTAACACAACATAACAAGCACAGTCTTCCTCTTTTTGTAAGTTATTGAATACTCTACTTCATTAACACACTACAGCTAAAACATTCTTGAAGAGCATAGTGCTTGAGAGTAGAGCCATCTGCAGAAAATTTAAATGCAATCACGTTTAAGGGAAATAAAATGATGGAAAAAAGAATCAAGAAAAAGCACAAGATAAAAATCAACTTCTCAGAAAACTTTCCTCCTCAAAATGAGGAACTCAAGGCAAGAGAAACAGTACTCATAAAATGAAGAATAAATTTGTACAAAAAACAAAAGCCAAATGAAGCACCCTGCATGAGACACTTGTAAAGCATGCCCTAAGACACTAACACTTGAAATGGGCTCATTTAAGCAAGAGACTTCCCCTATTGATACACCAAAACTTTACCTTCTCAAAATCAAATATTGTTACAAGAGTTTCAATCGTCACACTACTTCAAGACATTATCGAATAACTCATGAGAGCAAAGATGCAAAAGGCAAGTCCACATAATTCATCCAATGAAGTTACATGTTTCTAATAATATAGTAAAGCTATATTATTCTTGTGTAGCAAGATCTCAGGATACATGTAAGCGCTTATGTTTATGCCACAAAGTAAGTGCTGCATAAAGCATGCATTTCATCTTTCTGCCTTAACTGAAACAAGAATTATGTGTTACTGCAGACGATCTGGAGTGCATATATAGTAGGAGGATGCACATTCCAATCCAGAGAGTCTGTTCTCCATGGTGAGAGAACCATTTCCAAACGCACTCTGGGCAACTTAGATTTAGTATGCAATTTTGGATACAATAAATATAAACCTCACATTCACAATTCCGTAACTATGGGTGTCCTTAATACATGTAACCCAGCATATGAATTAGTTACCGATCTAGAAATACAGAGCTATCTAATACAAAAATAATCATTTTCCAGCCCAAAAGTGTGGGTTTTTTTTTTTAAATTCTTTTTTTCCTTAGACAAGAAGGCAAAAGAGGGGGGGGGGGAATAATTTTTATCATCCGAAAGTCAAGTGAGAAAGCCTTACACAGATTCATGTTTGAGACATCTAAAAGCACATTCCTTACCTGTGAAGTATAAAGTGTAAGGAGTTGTAAGACTGGGGAAAACAGTAATTCATGAGAGCTTTGAGAGATTTTTCCATTTTTACCTTTTCCATGAAGCTGATAACTTTTCGCAAAGATGTTGATGACACTGTGGGGACTTCCCTTCGCCAGTTCTTCCCATGGCCCCTTGCTGTGTGCACCACTTGTCTGAGTGAAAAGTGGCAAATACTTCTCAGCTTCTTTCTGAAACTCCTTTATGGGCTCAAAAGCATTTCTCTCCCGAATGCAGAAATCTTTCTCTTTTAATGTCTCCAGCATCTTCAGTGGCAATTGTTTGTGCTGGCCTCCTTCCTCTTCAGAGAGGCTTCCGTCACTCAGTAGAGGCCCTTCGCTGATGGAGTCGATGCTGGACTCATGAGGAATTACAGCTTTGTTCAGAGCATAAGCCTGGTTTTCACGGCCCGGGGAGTCAGTCTGTCTCTTAGATAAATGTCCTAGTATCCCCTCATGCCTCTTAGCAGCAAGGGACCTCATTCCAAGGCTGACTGCAGCAGTATGAGGCCTGATCATCTCAGGGAGCTTTTTAAATTCACTAAGGTTGCCTACCCCAGGAAGGCTGTCATCAAAGGCTGTATGAGACACACAGGTACCCAACATTTTTTGAATTCTGGCTGAAAAAGCATCTTCATTTTCCTCTCTCACAGGAGGACTCACAGCCTTTGCCCACCGCCCATCATCCTGGTTTTCTTGCATAAATTCATGGTCTGAGTTCCACAAGGTACCATAATTGATACCAGCCCCAGCCAACTTTTTGGCTTCACTTTCAATCCTGCTAGAAAGGGAAGCAGCTGTAGCTTTCAAAGCTTCAATCCGATCTAATTTACTCTTATATTGGTTAGCAGTAGGTTTTACCACGAGATTTTGCTGTGCAGCAGGTGAATTCAGGTACGGCTGAGGCATCAAGGTCAGCGATCCCATGGGTACAGCATGGCTCCTCCTGCCTGCCAACATCGCGTCACACTCCTTTGACAAAAGGTCCATCTGCTCCAGACTCCAGTGTTGGGAACAAGGGCCTCCACTTGAGCCCATGAGAGCTTGCGGGTGAGAGAGCTGGACTCTTGGGCTCAACCTGTCTGGCTGTACCCATGGAGGCTCCATCAAATCACTCCTGAAATGAATAGTCAACATTTAAGTTGGTGACTTATACAAGTACTGTTGTTTTAGATGAAAGTATCATTGCCGCAAATTTATTTTTCAGGAAGAAATACTTTTTGGTGGAATCAGAAGGGCAGGGAATGGGACAGTAAACAGTTACAGAATGTTATTTAAAAAAAACAAACAACACAGCACCTTCCAAATTTGAAATGCCGTTTAGGGTGTACTGTGTGCTTTAGAGTTGTAACAAGCTGAGTGTTTTCAGCAGCAGCAGTAAGTCTCTTCCAAAAGTTTCCTGACTTCAAAAGGGAGGAAACATCATTCCCTCCCCCCCCCTCGGAATTTCTTAGCCCCAGCCTTCCCCCTCCAGTTGAACCCAGCCCATGTTTCACTGGAGCTGTCACTTAGGGTAGGCATGAAGAACACTTAGAGAAAAGGAGGACTGGGAATACAAGGATGTTTAAAGTTCTGTAAGACATCTTTTTTATTTCCAGATAGCTCCCATTTGCATGACAGGAGCTCTGTAGAGACCTTCCTTCGCTAATATCACTTGGACGTATTCTGAATACTGTGAAACCTGGAAAGTCCCTCACAAAAAACTGCTTCTCTGCTTACTATGAGGCTCTGCAAATAACTTACACAGCCTTTAAGTCTCATCTCTCCCCTACTATTAGTACTTACCTTTTTCCTTACAATGTTACACTAACAATATTTACTACCATACAGTTTAGCAGCCTATTCTATACACAGTACTACATAGCATTCCTAGTGCTTCCTTGAACTTTTCCAGAAAGGAAACAGGTCTCATTGAATTTACAAAGTCAGTGTGGATTTGACCAAGTTAAGGTACAGATAATGAAGCAAGTACATATTTAAGCAGCAGACATTCATTATGTAATTAAAAATGAAGACACTTGCACAACAGGGATATTAAGGATATGCAAGAAACGATGATTTTTAGTTGGTTATATTTAAGTGTTTGGTTAGGCACCTTGACTTACAGTAAGAAAAACTTTGGTAATACACTGAACAGTTAAAAATGGGGAAAGCAGCATGAAAGGAAATAGGGAAAGGCTAGTTCCAAGCAGAAGCAGAGGGTTTTGGTACTTTAGAGACAGTAACTAAAGGCCTGAATCCAAGAGAATAGATTAAATAGAAACACTGAACAAATCAAATAAGAAAAATCAACAGACGTATTCATACGATCAGCTTCTTTTGCCTGATGGCAATGGCAGAGGAAATATAGTCTCCTAATATGAAATGTACATCTCCTTGATGTCAGCAAAAGATTAACAGCAACCACCATTCACTTTATTTATTTACAGGCTAACTCAATACCCATAGCCAAAATTTTCATATGCTTTCCTGCATCAGCTTCCTCTTTACTGCGAGGAAACGTTATAATTGCCATAAAGACAATTACTCTCGCTAGAACATGAACTTAAGAGCCTAGTCTATTTTCACCTCTCAGAGATGAAAACTAGAGTATCTTCCTCTCTCTCAAAAGGCCCACAGTGTCTCACCTCAGTAGCGGCTGCTGCGGTTCTGAAAGCGACATGTCACTACTTGAAGATGCACTAGGAGGACGCTCTTGAGCCTTGTTTTCTTTGTCGGATTCCCCAGACGGTTGATAACCAGGTCTGGGCTAGAAATGAAGAGAACCAGAAAAATGCATTTTCAAAAGTCTGCAGGAGTTTAGAAGCTCTTGTCTCATTAAAATTGAAAAGGCTTACATTTCTCAGTGTAGTATCGCATCTTTCCTACCACACAAAGACTTAAAAACACAAGACATTTATGTTTTTGTCTCAGCAGAATGCACTGGGGAAAAAAGCTTTGCTCATATACTGAACTAGTTCATCTGAACACATCAAATTGATATTAGTCTTTTACCATATATTAATCTTCTTCCGTATTCAGTTTCTGATTAGCAAACTTATTTTAACTCACTGCTGATAAAGTTTGTCCACTGACTGAAAGCAACTTCAGACAAAGCTCTTCAATTTATGGTTTGACTGGTGTTTACAGTTTAAGAGCCAACCTTTATAGCTGCTGTTAGCTAATATCCAGAATTCTGCTTCTATTTATAACAGAAAGATGATTTCCATTCACCTTTCTAGTATGTGAAAGAAAGGTGAAAAGCAGCCACTAGCAAGGAGGCTCCAGATCGAAACCACTATGTTTAAGCAAAAGCTACACAGTTTTCTTTGTATCCTTTTTCTTAACTGACAACCACACCAGGACAAGTCATGACCTTCCTAAACATATGACCTCCTATTCCTGCAAAGAACTGCAACACATTAAGTTAGTGAATCAGCTATACCTGTGTTTCCTGCACCGTAGGCAGCTGAGGTGGCTCTTCTAAAAATGTACGTTCTAGCAATAGTTTAGAATAGGTTTCCTGTAACCGTTTCGCTGCTGAAGGCTCAGGAGGAGGCACATTCTTCACTTTAGTAAAAGCCTCCTTCTGCTTTCTGTAGAGCTCTTGGAGCCTTTTGTTCTTCTGTTCTGTTGCCTCCTTTTGTGCTTTCTTCTCTTCATTCTGCTTCTTCTTCCTCTCCTCTTGCTGCCTGATGATGTACTGACGAACCTCATCTGTATCATAGTGACGTTTCTTAGAGATCACCTGAGGCTCCTCACTGGCAGCTATCTTGTCCGGTTTCCTTTTGGTTGGACTGTGGCTCCTGGCATTTTGAGTAGGCAAAACAGATTTCTGATTCTGCTTTTCCACATCTTTCTCTTGCTTTGTACTCATGGAATCTAACTGCAAGTCATCGAGAATTCCACGTATCTCCACGGGCAGGAAGTCCTTATTTACAGAGCCATGATCTTCTTGGTTATCATTTGGAAGTGCAGCTTCCAGTTTCTTCAGATTATTCTCAGACCGTACTTTACTTCTTGACCTTTCAGAACTTCTTGAAGAGTTTTTATGGGTAACATCCAGTCTAGAATCTGAACCTGTCCTTCCAATACAGCCTGCTGAAGAATAAGACTTGTCAAATATTTCAGGGAAAAATCAAATTTGGGAAATTACATGCCATCACTGAAACAGCTGCAAAAGTGAGGATGAGGGACGAGTGCAAATCTCACTGTAAATGTGCTTTTGCTTCATTCAGTGTCATAGTCTGAATATAGCAGCCTTTGCTTAGACTGAGCTCATACCCTTTATACTCTTACCAGCCTCACCACCTCACAGGCTGTCCTGGTTTTGGCTGGGATAGAGTTAATTTCCCTCCTAGTAGCTGGTACAGGGCTGTGTTTTGGATTTAGCATAAGAATAATGTTGATGACAC